GCGATGTTGCGATATAGCTTTGTCCAGCCACCGCCTCCCGGTGGAGAAGTGGAAAGAGAACGGCTCAATACGAGCTACATCTGAAGGCTAAGAGAACCGAGTAAGCATCGCCGTATTGTGGGAGTCTCAAAGCTGACAGCAACAGCAGTCTTGCGATCATCCCGACGCGAGACCAGGCTCTAGTTTGAGCCAGAAGCGCATTCTCTTCTTCGTAGTCTTCCGACCGTACCTACCCGTGCCTCCAACATGCCGCCCATGTCTCCGCGCTCATCGCAAAGCTCCCGGTTATGCACCGATACAAGTTGATACCCTCTTCTCCATCGTCTTTTCGCCAGCCGGATTACTGTGGGCGGGGTCCATCTCTTGGCTACGGAGTATATCTCCCTACGAGGTTAAGAAGAAGCTTAGTCGTGTGTCGGACTTCTACATGACATTTCTAGCGGCAAAAGATGCGTCGCTAGACTTGCTAATAAGAGCAGCTGATAGCCGAAACGTGCTCATGCGAAATTCGCTCATTCGAAAACGCGCTCACGGCAGAATGCGCTTGTTTGAGAAGGCGCTTCTCTCGTGCAGCTAGGTGGCTGATCAGGCAGGGTGCCTCGTGGCAAGGACTAGAATCGGCTGCGCACTCGTGGGCGACATGTGTTGAAGGCCTGGTGCGTGGGATGACGGCGTCGGAACCAAGCCCACAGCAGCGGGTAATATGCCCTCAGACCGCTTGCAGTGGAGCGGGCCGTTGGACAGGGTCCGTGCTCGCGTATGGATTCACCAACCTCACCCTGGTTCGCGGGTCGTGTCTGCATCCCCGCTTACTGTCAGCGTGGCGCCTCTGCGCCCGCCGTAAACATCCAGTACATGTACACATGTAAGGTCATGATGCGTCGCGGCTCGCTATCGCGTCCTCACCGGCCAACATGACACACGATTCAACACCATACCCATACCCGTATTCGCAGGCTGCGCAGCTAGATCCGCGCATCACCATCCCCAGGCCTTCCATCGATCCCGGTCTAGCACCTTTGATCGATTCTGCTCTTTTACCGGAAGAGTTGGATGTAGCCTTCCTCCGCGGCTTCGATGTTGGTGGCAGTCCCGAGCCAATACTCGCCGCGAACCCGCATCTGACGCATACGGAGCATGCCGTACCCGGCTCGTGCGGCCACAGCATCGCCTTGTCAGTCTTCGCCCCGAAGGCCTCGCCCAATGCATTACCAGTCCTGTATTACATACACGGTGGCGGCATGATCTCAGGCGATCGCTTCAGCGCTGTTGCGCCACTAGTCGATCTCGTCCAAGACATCCCATGCGTCATCGCCTCGATCGAATACCGGCTCGCACCCGAGACACCTGCACCAGGCGGCGCCGAAGACTGCTATGATGGACTGGTTTGGCTCTCGACAAACGCCGCGCGCCTAGGCATCATTCCAGCCGCGATCGTGATCTGCGGGTCCTCAGGTGGTGCGCCCCTCGCTGCAGCAACCTGCCTCATGGCCCGTGACAAGGCAACTCCAACCGTGCCGATCAAAGCGCAAATGCTCTTGTCGCCCATGCTCGACGACCGCTGCGACAGCATCTCAGACCACCAATTCGAGCACGGCGTGCCCTGGAACGGCGCCACGAACCGCGCGGCCTGGAACCATGCTCTTGCCGGTCAGCGTGGTACCAACACAGTCACCGCATATCAGGCCCCATCCCGCGCTACCGACCTGTCCAACTTACCTCAGACTTACATCGATGCGGCTGAATGCGAGGTGTTTCGCGATCCTGCGGTCATGTATGCTATGAGTATGTGGCGGTGTGGTTCCTCGTGTGAGCTGCATGTCTGGCCCGGGGGGACGCACTTGTTTGATGCTGTTGAGAATCCGAGGGTGCCGGTCGTGGGGGCTGCGATTGCGGCGAAGAGGGCTTGGCTGAGGAGGATGATGCTGCCGTTAGAAAATAATGGGAGCACGGCATGATGCAAGATTTCATTATTGTTGTGTCTGGTGTCTGCTTGGCGATTACACTTGAGCAGTGCGCCCTTGGATGCAAATGAGAATTGTGGTGGTATTGTGCAGGCGAGGCTGATGTCATAATAAGGTGAAGTTCTCTACTTGCTTCTGGTACGCCCTGATGTATGTGTCCAATCCAGACACATGTTGGAGAGTTGTCTCAAATAGGAAGCAATCGCCACTGACAAGCCTCCAACTTCCATTTCGACCCGGTCTTAGGATACATGCTGCGGCAGCACCTCTGAGAATACAGATCACATCTCCAGGTTGTGCATCACTGGGTACAATTGCAAGCTCGCCATTCGTCAACAGACTAACTGTGCAAAGCTGGAGAGCTTGGTGGAAGTCATCGAGTTCTTCTTGGAGACAGATTGAGTTTCCCTATTTCGCGTTAGAAAGTTGTATTAACTGAAAAAGGAGGCACCTACATAGGTACCACACGCTCGCGTTAGCGAGAAATGAAGATCAGCACCACTCATACAAGATATAGCTATAGTGCCGTTAGCTTTAGGCATACTCTGTGTGGATGCTGCTCTCACCTTGGAAGACCCTTTGGCCAAAGTGGCCAAATGTGAATAAGGTAGCAGGTTTACGCTTCGTCGTTTCATCCAAACACTGTTTCAGACTCACAAGATCATTGTATATATTATACATCTGTTGCTCAGCGTGATAGATGTCGAGAAACTGAAACACCTGACTTGATTCAACGATTTGCGCATATTGACATCCTGCAACTCGCAGCATCGGACCTTCGGGGCTATCTTTATATAAGTAATCACCTCGTGTACGTTCATGATCCTTGGCGTTAGCGCATACCGATGGATTTCTTAACATTCTTGCTTTGTCTGATTCGAATTGAAAAGCGAGGGACTGAAGTGGTAAGCTCTGTGACCAATCCGGAATCCATGAGGCCATCTCCAATTTGTGTGGATGGCGGAGACCGGTGAGGAGTCGAGGTCCCAACACGGGCAAAAGGAATTCAGCAACTCGCTTGAAACATGTTTCTACACTCTGCGTATAGTCGATCAAATAGTCGATCTCCGATTGTCTGGGGCCAAGTAGAGACTTTAGAGCGAAGACCGTGTCTCGTGGGTTGCTCGCCAGACATTCCCTGCTCATGTATAGTCGATTCCACAAATTGAATTGCGGTGTGGAGTACTCAATACTGGACCAAGATAATTCAAGAGGACGTGGTAGAACACCACGAGTCAACTTGACTAGGAATTCATCCTTTCTAGGATAGCCATAACAGATCTGCCTTAAAGCCCTGAGGGATATGGTTGCCGAACCGTACATGACCAGGACTGGTTTCTCGTACACTTCCTGGATAACCCACGTTCTTTTGAACCAAGGTTCTTCGAAGAGCGTTTCCAGCTGCCTGAGGATAGCTGCATTGGGTCTATCCCTCAGTATATCTCTGTGAGATTTCAGAAAGCTCCTAACTGTCTTGCACTCCTCTCGTAAAAGGTCCCAGTCCGAAACATGCTCGCTGAGCATTAACATAACGCATTGCGCGCGGCTGTAAATCTCATTCATCAAACGGACCTGACTGGATCGCTCCTCGAGATCCTCTTGATTGATACAGATCGCGTCGATCCATACCAGTTTCTGCCTTATGGGTGATCGCAAGCGACGGAGAGCAGCATGGCAATTCTCCCCAACGATCAGCCTCTCCCTGCCACCGTTGGTGTGTACATTGTTTGTATGTGTACTGTCACCCCAAGTGTAGGATACTGCTAGGTACTTGGGGGCGTTCTCAAGCTTGGCGCATTCCTCTCTCCAATCCAACCACTCTTGGGACGTAGCTCCCATGGGTTCCGGGCGATGAAGTTCAGCGATTTGTATATGGCGCAACGTGCATACGATAGTGTCTGAATCCTTTGGGCTTGGATGAAGAACAAGGATGCGAATGGAGTCGCTGTGTTGCAGCGGTTCGTATTGGTACAATGGTGTCTCCATGACGATCTGGAGTGGAGCGGAGCTTGCGAGTGCTAGTAGGTGTCAACGGATATTCCGATCTCCCATACGAAGATGAAGCAAAGCACCGTCGTCGTCGAGGGGACCAGAATATAATACTTGTCATCGTCTAGGTAGCAGGCCTGAAGCGCAAGCCATCTGACCTCATCGAGCAGGTGGGGGCAGTGCCGTGGCGCAGATAGCATCACAGCCGCGCGCGGAAGCAAACCTGGTGAGCCTGCTGCCTTTTGAATGAAGTTGGCTACAGCAACAGGCTGGCTAGCTTCTATTGTGTAGGGCTCATCCACTAAAGTCCATACTTCACCATCTTTTCCATCGACGCGCTACGCGCGATGCGATGCGACCGACGATGCAGGCCTTTCGCTTCTCGCAGCACGATACCATAGCCTCAACATACAACGAAACATTATAGGGACGTGTCCCCGCCTTTGATTAGCTCTTATCATTGGCCGCGTTGGTCATCAACGGGTGTAGCTGAGTGTACAGGCGGACAGCCTGGCAGCACTGCCACGGAAAAACAAAACCACTGAGTACGTGACCAAGTTCCCCGCACGAAGGTCTATCAGGCTGATACGATCAGGCCAATGAGGTTTTGATCCGCCCGAGGCGCTATGAATGCTTCGCCTTGGGCAGTTCAAGCCACGCGCCGCATGCGTCCGCCTTCTTGTCCCTTTGGCAAAAAATCGAAAATGTTGAAATATCGGCCGGGGGCTCGGCGCGCCGAGCCCCACAAAATTTAACCCACCCAATCGCGAGCAGGCTGCGGGGGCCCTGCACCTCATACTTATCCCCATATAGATACCGTTGCTTGCAACAAATACTCGATGAATTCAATTACATGCGTCCGCCTTCCCGCGCGTTCTCAACCCTCCATTACGCCGAGTCCTGTCTCTCTAGCAGTTCATCCGCCGTTCCAGATTCCTCCGCTGCTTCAATCTGCGGAAGTTATCCAGACATCATAAACTTCTCTCCTTCAGCGACCGAATATCTCATCTGCACACTTACATTTTCAGCAATCTGACTGCTACCCAATCAAAACCCACCACCCTCAACCCCAGTAACAACACTCGTCGTAACCGCCGCCCCAAACGCAACGGCACTGCGACTAAACACCATCCTGCCCATTTGCCAATGCGCAGCCTCATCGTTACCATGACGAAGCTGATCAGCAGCCGGAGGTATAAAGCGACCCAAGTTCGATACTTCGAATGCAGCATCACGTGTAGTACCGAGCAGAGACGTAAACACCGCGGCAACATCAGGAATGAGTTTGAACGGCGCAATGGACGTGTATGGTTCACCGGTCGGTGAGGTGTTGGCGAGATAGGAGGTGATTTCTTGGGATGTGTGATGTGCAGCGCGGAGGCCACGTGTCTTGTCTTTGCGGCCATAATCGTTATCGCTTCCTTCGTACTGCGATCGCCGTATTTGCACTTTCATCGCGTCGATGAAACTTCCCATTGCGGCATCTGCTGAGTTGGCGGGAAGATTAAGCCATGGGCGTAGATTGATTGGTATGATACCCGTGAGTGCTTCGATATCATCTGGTAGAGCGAGGAAGAGAGCGCCTACTAGAATGGCGGTGAGACCGGATGTTACTGTTATGCCGTTGTTCTTACATCTCTTTGCAAAGGCTGCAGTGGCCGTGGGCGGGAAGTACAGCGTTTTGTAATGCGTTCTCAGTGGTGTATGAATGGGGTTTCCAAACCACTCTTTCAGCTCCTTACCTCCGCCGGCACGATGGTCTCGAGGGTTCTCGTTGATAGGTAGAGGATGGAGTTGCTCTAGAGGTTGGAGAAGTTGGATGTTGGCGTCGGTGGTCACGGTCGAGCTGCTGTGCGCGAGGACAGAGGGGAGTGAAATTGCGGTGTTAAGCGCTTGCAGGAAGAACGTGTGGAAGATTGAGCCCGTTGCGCCGTCACCGAGACTGTGGTGGAAGATGAATGATGCAATGAAGCTAGCATCGGTCCCGGCATCTTGCAGAATGATCAAGCGCCAGAAAGGTAGGTCGCCGTAGTTGGATTTGAAGTCGGTGTTGTGCTGCTCTTCAAGGATGGCGTCGAGCTCGGGATCTTCGTCTCCTTGAACAGTAGACCCTGTTCTCCTTCTCCAAAACACACACTTAGCAAGATCAATCGACTCCAGCCTCGCAAAGTAAGCTTCCGGAGACGCTTCATTGACAGGAATGGCCGACAGGATAGCATTCTTCCTCACAACATTCGCCAAAGCTGCATACACCACGCGTTGGAGATCGGGCGATTCGGTACTGTTAGACAAGGTGTAGTGGGCAGACATGCCGACATTCTTGAAGAAGCCAAGTGCGTGGGATACCGCGGAGAGCTGTTCGGATCTTCCTGTGGGGTAGTCAGTTGGTCTGAAGGGCATGGATTACGTATTGGAGTTTGTGTACCTAGTGGTCGTAGTATAGCAAGTCGCTGCACTTTGGGCTGCTGGTCTGGTCTTGTGCGCGTCATTTTGGGAATAATCGTTGCGGTAGTTAGCAGAATATGATGCGTTCAATGGGCTAAGAGTTTGAACAATGGGACTCATCAGGGCTTGTAAGATTATAAGATGAGATGGCATAACCTTTTCCTCACCAGGCAGTACACGCAGATACTCCGGGTTGTCGGATCGGATACAACGAACAACGCGACATGGCCGAGCAATACCAAGCCTCCCTGCCGTTGCAGGAACGCCGTACATAGTTAGACTCCAGCCATGGTGTCCTTGGCTATATGAGCAGTTTATCAGCCGCTATCGATCCATCGCTTGTCACTGTGGCTCGTGTCAGGTTGGTGGCTGACAACAACTCAAACTTGGCACATGTCCGACGGTAAGCCGGGCAAGGCCTCAGGTCCCAACAAGACACTAGGACGTTGGTGGAAGCGCTGACTGCAGGTCAATGTACATTCAGCGTAGGACTCGCGATGACGATAGTGCTGTTAGAAACACAGCTTCGACAAGAACGCCTCGGGAGTCTGCTTGTTGACGGCTGCGGCGGGGTGCTAGCAATGAGGGGCATCATGAATCAGCCTTTGAGCACAAGGTGAGGTGTTTATGGGAGGCAAAGATGGCAGTGAAGGCCAGCTCATCGATTGATCATAAGAGCGTTACGTTCGAGCGCATGTCGCTTGCTCCGTGGTACAGGTGTCCTCCTGTCACGCTGAGAGTGACAGCGGCCGACGCATGGCAGATCGCGCTTTACAAGTTGAGGACTAGCGTCACAATCCCTGCTTCCGCGGCTTCGGAACGTCATCGCCCATCACCAAATTTTGGGGCAGGCCCCAACAGCGCGTGTGATCAACACTGACGAACATTACGAACACCCCGCGCAGCTAATCAAGTGTTACTCATTCGCATAGAAAACCCAATCTTTACTCGCATCTTTGTTTAAACCCAACCTTCACCCACATCGAAGAGCGTCCCAAAACAAACATGGCGACACACGAGCAGTACATACTGCACGTCACGGCGGGCGCAACCTACGACACGTCGAAACACGAAGACGTCCTAGTCAACAGCGAAAAGCCCGTCGACATATCCTCCGACTTAATCGACGCGCGCGTACACATGCGCATCAAAGACTACCGCGGTACGCCTTCTCACCTGGACCCCTCGTCATCCTACCCCTCCAATCTCCAACGCTCCTGCCTACTAACAAAGCCCAGGCCTACCAGAAGGCTCTCCAAAGACCTCACCCTACTTCTCCACACCCCAACATCCCTACGATCGCTACTCGATATCCTTCTCCTTCACACCCAAGCAAGACATAGCGGGCGACAAGCTCGTTTTCGGAAACGATTTCGACCACCCTATCCGCGACCGGTTACCACCGCTGTTCGACAAGGCGTTCGGGGTAGTTAGGTGGTGGATTGATCCAGGTCTAGACGGCGATGTCTACGCAGACGAGCCATACCTCTACGGCGCGCTTCTCTCCTCGATAAACGTCCTGCGCATCGGCAGCAAGAAGGACGCGGACAAGCCGGCCAAGAGCGATCTGGAAGGCGAGGCACAAACAGAAGGAGACGTGGAGGTGCCTGGCTCCGATGGCGAGGCTGTTGTCTACGAAGAAGGCGCAGATGGTGACGGCGTGGACGTCAGGAAGAGCAAACACGTACCCGACAGAGCCAGCGCAAGACAAAAGTTCTTCCTTACGGAGCAGAACAGGAAGGACTTTGTGTTCGAGGCTGGCAGGGAATACAAGTGCGATTTCTTCAACCCGTATCTCGACTTCAACGAGTTTGCGCTCAAGATCGGGTACGGATTGCCTGTTATAAGTATGATTGGGCACTGGGATGGACAGCCGTTGCGGTAAGTACATATTCCTTCACCTCCTGTATCCCCCATTGTTATCATCACGACCACTACCACTACTACTACAACTCCCACCACTACTCACAAATTTCTTTGGACCTCGGGATACGGAGCTGACTTGACGCATTCACTAATCAGACCGCACACCCTTAGATATGTGCTCAAGAACCGGGAAACCAACCAGGAGCTCTTTGTCGTGGTTATAGAACTACTGCCGACTGAGCAAGCGAAGAAAGAGGGCGCGGAAGATCCGAAAGAGAAGTTTGAGGAGGTTCATGGCGGGGGGAAGAAGGAGGATAAGAATAGTGACCTTGATTAGGGGATCGGGTCTTGGTATCCGCAGTTTGTTTGGTGATGGGGGGTTGATTGGGGATGGGGCATTGGATTGGGGGTAACAGCATGGCGTTTGGGGATGGGTATGGGTACTGTGGGATGGACTGGAACGGGCTGGGCTGGGGCTATTGTTAAGGATGATACAACATTGCGCTCGATATGAGCAGCAAATGCAGCAGTCAATGTAACTTTGACAACAATTTCCATTCATGGCAATCCTCCGTTCTCCCCCGCGGGGACACAACGTGGGCGCCGGCGGTAAAGAAAGCTCGGACCTCCGAACTTCGGCGGCAGCTGCAGCAACACCAAAAATTCCATCGCGAAGCTGTCAATCCCGCATCACATCTCCAACATGGCCGCACGCACTTTGAGGATAGGTAAGGCATTCAATGCATCCATACATACCGAATACATCTCAAGCTATCATCATCGACTAACACCACCCAGGCCTTATCCCCGGCGACGGCATCGGCCGCGAAGTCATCCCCGCGGGCCGCCGCATCCTCGAAGCCCTGCCCTCGTCCTTCAACCTAAAATTCTCCTTCTCGCACCACGAAGCCGGCTGGTCCACGTTCCAGAAAACCGGGGCCGCCCTCCCCGACGACACCGTCTCAGCCCTGAAATCCGACTGCGATGGCGCCCTGTTCGGAGCCGTCAGCTCGCCCACCGTACAAACAAAAGGCTATTCGAGTCCGATTGTTGCCTTGAGGAAGAAGATGAAGCTATACGCCAACGTCCGACCCGTCAAGAGCGTTAGAGGCGCAGCGCGGGACGTCGATCTAGTAATCGTGCGCGAAAACACCGAGGACCTCTACGTCAAAGAAGAAAAAACCTACACCGCACCGGACGGTTCCAAAATCGCCGAAGCAATCAAACGCATTTCCGAAACCGCGAGCTTCAACATCGCAGAAATGGCCGGCGACATCGCACTCCGCCGTCAACGCGTCCGCGACGCCGGCGCAAAGTCTATCCACTCGTCGCCTCTTGTCACGATCACACACAAGAGCAACGTGTTGAGCCAGACCGACGGCCTCTTCCGCGAAACCGCGCGCCGGGCGCTTCAGAACAGGAAATACGGTGGTGTGAACGTGGAAGAGCAGATTGTGGATTCGATGGTGTACAAACTGTTTCGCCAACCGCAGGACTACGACGTCATCGTCGCACCCAACCTCTACGGCGACATCCTCTCCGACGGCGCCGCCGCCCTAGTCGGTTCCCTCGGTCTCGTTCCCTCCGCGAACGTAGGCAAGGACTTTGTGATTGGTGAGCCGTGCCACGGTTCCGCACCCGACATCGAGGGCCAGGGCATTGCGAATCCCATCGCCACCATCAGGTCGACAGCGTTGATGCTTGAATTCATCGGCGAGGAGGAGGCTGCGGCGAGGATTTATGAGGCTGTTGATGCTAACCTTGAGGAGGCGAGGCTGCTCAGCCCTGACATGGGCGGCAAGGCGAAGACGGAGGAGATTATCGAGGATATCTGCAGGAGGTTGTAAATGGGTTGTTAGTAGTGCCTGTCGAAAATACGCTTTATGACGTGCTGCGATGCAAGTATTCCTGTCTGAACCGACTGTGGAAGCACGTGTGAGATGTGTTATATGGGCTTTATGCAGAGAGATGATGTATAGTTTAAGGACGATATCCCGTACGTTCTACCAACTCCATCATCCTACCGTCAGAGACATATCTTACGCGGTATCACACCCTCGTAAAAGCATCAACATCCACCCTCTGATAAAAGCTCACATGCCCAAACGTCTCCCAATACTGCGCTAGCCGATCATGGCTGATGAGAATGAGCTGGCTTGTCATGTAATTATCTGTTTTTGATCCGTTAGCATCTTCTCACAACCCCTTCACAGTTACCTAGGTACCGAAGGAAAAGATAAACATACCATCTCTAAACCCCGTCGCAGCAATATGCCCCACACTCCTCACAATCCTCGCGCCCTTGAAAATCTCCTCCTTCGCAACACGGATCAAGCCATTCGGCCCAATATCCGGTGCTATGAAGGTGTATTCGCCGCGAGGAATGTTGGGGTCGCCGGTGAGTTTGACGGCTTCGATGCGGCCTTTGTATACACTCTCGTCTTCCTCCGACCTGTGTTTACTGTCGTTTGATGTTTCCCCGGAGGTGGAAATGTAATTGTGGTAAGGTGACTGTAAAGTGGCGACGCTGTCTTCGAGATCATCTGCGTTCTCCATTCCAACACCAATTTCAACACCACCATCAACAGATTCCTCCTCGGAAGCAGAAGAAGAAGCCGCATCCGTCGGCGCCGTCGTCCAACTCCCCTCACTACTAACGCTCTCCTCCCGCTCCCTCGCCCGCATAGCCCACTGCGCACGTTCAGGAAGCGGTTTCGCATCTTTCTCATCCGGCTGCATGATAGCCAGGAACTCGCAGCCGTGGCCCGCGTAATCGCCGCACCAGATGCCCTGCCATGGTTTCTGGGGCGTGGGCGTGTAGCACGATTCTGGTAGGGTGGCCCACGTCGTCACGTCCTCGCCGATGCGCATGCCCATGCCGAGGACGCGGGTTGAGAACTCCATCCAGCGCCGAATCCGGAATGTGGAGTCTGAGAGCTGGGAGAGCGTCGCGGGCTTCTGGCCTGGTTGGCGGTAGCCAGAGGGGGAGTGGTCGTTGCGCGTGCGGTCTGCGCTGGGAAGGGTGAGGGGCGGCCATACGGGCGTGGCGTCTGTTGTTATGGCCTGAGGCCAGGGGCGTGTGAGCATGAGTTGGGAGAAGAGGGATGCGGCTTGTTGTTGGCGGTCGCGGTAGAGGGACATGCGGATTTCTTTCTGGAGGCGATATCCTATATTCCCGACGGCTTCGTCGTAGGCGTCACGGTTCAGACGCACGATGGGCGCGTTGAGGTCGAGGCGCACGTTGGGGCTGAAGGTGTGGATTATGGCTTCGGGGTGTTGGTCCCAGGATAGAGCTACGGGCGATCGTCGTTCGGCGACGAGGGCATAGGCTTCGATTGCGTTGAGCCTGTGGTCGTAGCGCGCGATGAGCAGTTTGCCTGTGTGGGCTGTGTCGGCGAACCAGATCTTGCGCCGCGCGATGAACCAGTATGGGTGGTGTTCTTGGTATAGTTCTCGCCATGTCAGGCGCGCTGGCTTTGTGACGTTGGGCACCTCCGCTTCTACGAAGGCCTGCCAGAGCGTGTCTTGGAATGTGTGGGTGCGCAGGACTTTGCTGGCCATGCTCACGGTGAGAAGGTCTGATAGGGTGAGATAGCTGAGCACATGATGGAGTAGTTCCGAGGGGAGGTTGAGCAACGGCGGGATGGGCGTTTGCAGTGCCGGGCTTTCTGTCTCGCGAATCCGTAGCTCCATGGTATCGACTGATGGTTCCGAACTCTTTGAAGTTGTATGCAGCCTCTTATTAGGAATCGATCGACCGTTGCAGTACCTCAGCTGCGGTGGCGAAAAGCTTATGTAGCAACCACGTCCGTCCCTCTTACCTCTCACATGCAACCCGCACCGAAAAGAGGAGTGAATCGTCGTAAATCGTCGCCCCGAGACTTAATATAACGCCTCAATCGTCGGTCCTGCAGGGCGCTCTTCCACCCGATACTACCGTCTCGGCAACGTTCCGTGGTGACACCTTCCCACCTTCGCCTAGCCGCAACAAGTCCGGGGTAGATTGGCGTGATTAAGCAGCGAATACGAGCGCTATGCAAGATCAAAGCACTAACTCGCGTATCTTGGACGCGCTGAGTACCTGCTCTTTTAGGTGTTTGATGTGTTTGATGTTGCTTTGCGATGATGACGATGTTGCGATATCGGATGATGCGCTGCAAGGGTGAGGCGGCTCGGGAATGTGTTCGGGTGCGACGGCAGAGGGGTGAGGAGGAGGTTGATGTAGAGGTTTGCCGCTGACAAAGGCAGAGGAAGTGGTTGAATGCAAGGAGATAGGTGCTTGTCGTCGCCACGCAGGCGTGATAGGTGCGTGTCGGTCACGATATCGCAGTACGTCACCGTCCGTCCGTGCGCTGCCGAATAGCTGGCTTTTGTGGGGTACCTCGAACTTGACCTCTGCCACCACATTTTGAGGCAGACATCACATTTTTAGAGTACGCACGTCGCGACATCATGTAGCCAGGAGGTATTCAGTGAGGATGGGGTAAGTATCTGCGATGACACAAAGTGACTTCACGACGACATATCACCGTGCGCCCGGAGATATGAGGATACAAATCACGGTTGAGGCATACATCATCATCGGGAAACATCATTCATTCAGGCAGGATTTCAAGCCAGGCGACGAAATCACCCACTACATACCCCATCCACCAATCTCCCAAAACCCACCCACCGCCTACAAGTCCTTGAACTTGCCCTTCCAGGCCGCCTTCTGCGGCGACCTCTTCACCACCCCCACCGGCCCCTTCCCCATCTCCCCCTCCCTCCTCTTCTGCTCGAAAGCCGCCCGTCTCTTCCTCTCCTTCTCCTCCTTCTTCTCCGCCAACCCCACCACAGTCTTCTTCATGGCCGAAGCCCGATCTGCTTTGCGCAGCAAAGTCTCTTCAGCCGCCTTGTTCTTCTTCAGCTCCTCCTCGAGAAACTGGCGGCGGCGGCGGAGCTCCACGAGTTGCTCTTGGATGCCGGCGGCGGAGTCCTGGTGGGCGGCCTTGGCGGCGGCGGCGACGACGTTGGTCTTGGTGGTGGCGGCGGCGGCACGACGGCTCCTGACCTCGTCGAGGAGGCGGGCGTCGGCGGCTTCCACAGCTCCGGCTCCGTACATGCGGATGGGGGGCGAGGCGTACATCTTGGCGATTTGGCTTGGTCGCTGATGTGGTGTTGGTGTGTGGTGGTAGTGAAGTAGTAGTATGGTATGACTTGTTTTGAATTCTAGTCTTGAATGTAGTGGTGTAGTGGTATGGTAGGTTTGAAAAGTAATTGGATGTGTGAGATGGATAGAGAGAGCTAGAGAACAGAAGAGTTGGAGACGAAAGGACTTCTTATATAGTAAGGACTTCTTGGCTGGGACGACGTCTATTCTGCTGGTATTACAATAGCAAGGACTGCAAAAGTGAAGGTGAGCATGCAAATTTTCGCTGACGGCTGGTTTCTATAGGGCACAATAGCAGGCGATACGTGGGAAACGATGAGGCTGGGCGAGGTGAAAGGGCCTGTGGCCAATGACATCTCTCTAAATCGACTTCGAGGTGAGCGCGACTCTGGCTGCGGGCTTTCTACTGGCTACGAACGCCAAAAAATCGACCGCTTGATCAGTCTGCGCCACTGCAGGACGTTTCAGAAAGTTTGCTATTGTCTACTCAACAACGTCGTTCTGTCCGCTGACGTATGTGCGCTGCGAACTCTGGGAACAGCCAAGTCAAACGTCACATGCTGGAACAAGAACACTGGTAGAGGATAAACGCGACCATGGCATCCACGCAATGTTTTCATCTATCATAGTAATATGCGCCCGCACTCACCAGGCGCAAGACACGCGACGATTCAAACATGACAGCAATGTCATCACCTCGATACATCCGCGCTCAACGCGCACCCACCTTCTTATCTTTCTGCCAAGCCCTGGTCGCCTGCACCCACTCCTCCGGATCCGAAGGCGTCACCATATCCTTATCCCAACCCTCCATCTTCTCCATCTCCCCCAAAGTGAAATCCGTCTCAGGCCGTTGCATCCACTCAGGAAGCGGACCACTAGTCACGAAGTCCTCGACGTCTTCTATGAACCAGGCTTCTGGGTAACTCAGGTCGGCTAGTGTATCTTCTTCCTGCTCAGGCTCGGGCTGCTCTTCTGGCTGTGGGGGTGAGGGTTCCTCAGCGAAGGCTCGTCGTGTCATTGCAGCGAGATCCATTTTGCCAAAGTTGGGTGGCAGGTCGGGCATGATCTCTGGGCGCCATTCGGCGCTATCGGGACTGTCGGGGCTGGAGGAGAAGAGGTAGTCGTTTACATTGACGAAATCGATGGGGTGGCTGTGAGAGGCGGGGATGGGGGTGTCGGAGAAGAGGTAGTCTAATTCGTGGCCTTCGTTATCGTTTGACACCGCGAGAGCCGCAATGTCGTTAGTAGTTTCAGCTTGGCCTTGAGAAGCGTCCTTCGAGTTAGCACGCGCAGTCTCCTCAGCTTTCTTCCGTGCAGCTTCCTCGGCCTCCTTACGCGCAGCTTCTTCAACCTCCCTCCGTGCAGCTTCCTCGACCTCCCTCCTTGCAGCCTCCTCAGCTTCCACTCGCAATGCCGTCGCCAGTCTTCTTACACAGCCACTCATGTTGCTGTTCACATCCTCCCTGGTGATCTTCACTCCACCAAGCACAATAGGCTCATTGTCCTTGATCTGCTGTTGCAGCATGCGCGCCGCTGCTGGTTCGTAGTCTACACCACGGTTTGGTGCCACAGGCGACGCAGCTGCCAGGGTGGAAGACTTGTCAGGCGAGAGTGTGTGAGTGGTGGAGGACATTTTCGGCGTATTGATGGAAGCGGAAGTGCGCTTTGGCGCTGTGCTTGGGCTTGGTGTCATTTGGGTCGACGCTGGATGTGTTTTGGCCGCATGGTTTGTCGGCGCACCTGATGGCGGCAGCTGGATTTCAGCTTGCTGTTGCTCCGCATTTCGAGTCGGCTTCGGAGCTTGCTGTTGCTGTGGACGCTGCTCTTGCTTTCGACTCATGGAGTGTGATGTAGTCAGATCTTTACCATGATGACCCGAATGCGCAGAGGCGACTGGCGACGATATTTGACGCGGCGGTGTTGCATATTGCGCCAAATGGTGAGCGTATGAGGGCGTTGTTGCAGATGCGATCGCAGCATGCTCCTGCGACCTGCGCTGGGGAGAGAAGCTGGCAAGTTCCTGCTGTCGATGTGATCCATTTGGAGGCAATCCATTGTAGCCAAATGCAGGTTCGCCGGCTTGACGCTTTGCTGCTGGAGCAGGGCCTGTTGATGTGGTCGAGGGAGTGAGAGTTTGGGTAGGTGACTTGGTGAATGTACGTTGCGCTTGAGGTTGCGGGTGAGGCACAGGATGAGCTGGCAAGCTTGCTATGCTTCCCGTGTTGACTGGATGTTGAAATGGCCGCGGCGGTGGAGACTGATGTTGGAACTGCCGCGATGCTGCATGTGCGTGGGTAGCCTGTTGCAGCGGGGACATCTGCTGAGTCGGTGACGCGGATGGAACGAATGGTTGTGGTCCATGTTCCTGCGGGACTGCTTGACGTGCGGCCCAAATGGGAGCCTGAGGAGCAGGCACCACTGGGGAACGAGGAACTGGCGCCGCTACAGGACAAGGAGATGGCGTCCCAAGTCCTTGCCCCCCTTTACTCCTCCCCTGCACACCCCCCAACAGCCCCAACACCCCATTCCACCTCCCCACCTCCCCCTCCCACTCAACCCTACTCTTCTTATTCCAATCCCCCCACGTCTTATGCGCAACATGCAGCTCCCCCTTGAGCACCATCTCCTCAACCCTCGTCTTCCACGCCCGGATCTGCTTGCCAATAGCATGTTTCTTGTTCTTCTCTAAAAGACCCTCGCGGCAGCACTTGTGGTGACTTCCCTCAGGATGCAGGCATTTGTACAGGCCATCCGACCTCTTTGTACAAGCCTCGAGTGAGTCTTCGGTGGAATATTTTGGGACTGGGGCTTTGTCGAGGGGATGCGTGCGTCGGTCAGGTTTTTTGTCGCCCCATTGCCGTCTAATGTTGAGGATCTCTGCGGGTGAATCCAGTCCGGGGGTTTGTGTGATGGGGGTGGGAGGAGGTGGCGATGTTGTTGCTGTTGACTTGCGTCTTACGTCGCGACAGCCATTCGTTTCCCAAGCGTGAAGCTTCTCGTACCAACGTGCTTTGGGGTGGGTTTGCTGCGCCTTGCACCAGGCTTCGATTGCGGGCTTGTGGTCGTTGTAGCGCTGCTCTTGCGAGGTGGTGATGGAGTCGTTGCGGGCGCGCTTTGCGAGCGCTTCTTGCGATTCATCTTCGGATCTTGGGCGCTTCTGCGCTTGGTGAACCATGGGTGCTTGGACAGAGCTAGGCGTATACGGGCTCAGTCCAGTTGGTGTGCTCGCGGAGAAAATCATGTGAGGCGACGACTTCTCGCTACTTGTCGGCTTTGTCGCGATCGGTGGAGGCATCGTGTGCGTTTGGGCTCCTCGTGGAGTTGCGATTTTCGTTCTGTGGCTGTGGCGTCGACGTCAGGCGGGTGGTGTTGTACGTTCGCCAGTGCTTGTCGCAAGTTGTCCGGGGCGAAATGAGTGATAGTAGATACGCTGTAGAGGCACTGTACTAACGCGCTAGCGATGGATCGCTGAGTGAAAGGTCATATTGAACTGCTCTCTACATTCACTGATGATATAGTGCATCTTGAAAGTCAGTCCCGTGGTTGAGGATGCGAGCTACCTTGGTCCAACGAACTTCAAAACTTGGAGACGCAGGTATGCGAGCAGGCTACAACGGCGTCATGCCATGTCGTTCTTGTATCCATGGGGTATATTGCAGTATACATGCATGTAGAGGTGTGTGGATGAGAACACTATAGTCCTATTGTAGCCGGCTAAGCTACATATCCCCACTCGCAAAGCCACGCGAACGACACCCGTCACTCCCAAACCCCAACTTCACTCCCCCTCAACCCCCTCAACCCCCTACCCATCCTCCTCATCCCTCGCCCTCGCCCTTCTCTCCCTCTTCTCCCTCCTCCTCCTAGCCGCCTCATCCTTCCTCGCCTGCCTAACCTCATCCTCCTTCTGCTTAACCATAAACCCCATCCTCTCAAGACTCTGCTCATCCGTCAGCTTCTCATACTTGACCTTGACCGCCTTAACCACCTCCACCCCCGTCTTCCAATGCTTCCCCATAATCTTCTCCACAAACATCCACTCTGGGTACTTGATCGATTTGTCGACAATGTCCACAATGGGCACCATCATGCTACCCGTGTTGATGTATTTGTGTGAAGCGGGAATGACGAACCAGGTTATGTGTTCATCGTCCGCGTCGACCCATTTCTGCAGCGCATGGGCAGGAGCCTTGATCTGGGAGGTGGGGATCTCGCGCTTGGTGGCGGCCCAGTCGAACTTGGTCATCGCACCGCCGACGTCGCGATTGCTGTTGTTGTTGGCGAGCATGGCGGGGGCGACATGTCGGACGTGCTTGGCTGCGAGCTGGTTTACTTCGGTGCGGCGCTCGGCGCCGGTGGGGACGTAGCGTGGTGTGGGGATTGAGCGCTGCTTTCTCATAGTGTCAAGGAACTTGTTCGCGTTATTGGTCGATGGCTTCAATGACGCAGCGGTGGCGAGGGTGCGGTATCGTCGAGTGGCTTCGGTTTCTTTGCCGTTGTTCTTGTTCTCTGCCTCTTCATCGGCACTTCTGGCCTTCTTGGATAGCGGAGAGTCGTCAGAGTCGTCGGAGGCGTCGTCGTCGGTGGTAGCAGAATCGCGTTTGCGCTTCTGAGGAACAGCGACATGGGTGTCGTCATGAGAGGAGATAGGTGAAGATGTAGGCTGCGAATCTGGGTCAGAAGTGCTGATGGGGGCAAGCGCAGATGGACTCACGATAGGCGGTAAGCTGAGGCCCCAGGTAGTCTCGTCCTCGAATAGGTCGTCAAGATCGTCGTCATTGGTACTCTCAGAGTCGGTGGAAAAACAGCGGTGGGGCGTCATTGGTGCTACTTCGTCCAGCGAAGTTGGGCGCGAACGCGGAGCATTCACACTGACGGAGGTGGTAGGTACGATGGGGGTAGATGGCGACATCTTCGGAAGCTGCGGTGTAGATACGCTGACAGTGTATTGGGTAATGAGATGCACATATAGTGCGTGTAGATATCGGATTTCCGTAGTATTGGGTAATGAATAGCAAATTTGGTGCGTGTAGATATTCAGATGTCGTAAGCTGAATCAAGTGATGAGAGTTGAGGAGACAGCGGTGACGAGAAGTAGATCATATATGTCCGGACCTGGCTCAAGCTTTATTGAGAGGAGAGTACTGCTATTGTTGCAAACACGTATTGTATTGGAGTGCGAAAGTGAATGCGGCGAGTCGAGCTGTTTGGCGACAATAGCTTCAGATGACGCAATGGCTGAGCACTGACTGGATCATAGTATAAGTGAAAGGAGGCCTTCAATGCAAGGCCACCGCATCACAGCGCAAAATCAACGGGAACGAAAGAGGAATACATGTGGAAATAGTGAGATGGGTTGATATAGTAGTCTCTATCTGCCCGAGCGACATATGAGGTGACACTCCCTCTTCCAATAATAAAGACTTCAGATCGAGGTGACGTTGGCTACCAAACCGTTCCTTCCCACTCGCTCTCCAATCAAGAGTAAAATAACGCAGTTCTACCTACCAAGACGTATCCAATCGCGCCATGCACTGCCACCTCACTCTGGTACCCGCTGTTGGCGCGGCAAGTCACCGGAAGGTATGTGTTCGGCAATGATGGATGGACTGTGTGGACAACAGCGACGTTGGAGGCTTCTCTCACTATCGTGAACTCGTTGTAGAGGAGTCCACGCATCTGCGTCAGTTGTGCCGGCTCCTCCGAGTTTGTTTGACTCCCTTCGTCTCGTACGGCCGGCGTTGACGAAGGGTATGCTGGCGATATGGGCCATTCCCCTAGGGATGCATCGGAGTATATCGGGACCGTCGGGGAATACAATGGCGTTGACTGGGCGTATAGTGGCCATGTGGGAGGTAATCGCGGAGAGGGAGGAGAGTATCTGGGTGACGTGGGCGATTCTCCCAGCGATGCGTCGGAGTACATTGGAAATGTTGGAGAGTATGCTGGCGATGCGCTTCCAAAGTCTGCGAAAGTCGGGACTTGCAGCGACAAATTTGGATTGAAGTCCATGTCCAACGACGTCGCAATCTCCTCGCCGTCTTCATCAGAAAAGTGTGTCGGTTCAGTCATGCCGTCAAAGGCGGGGAGATCTTGGACCGACACTCCCATGGACGCGAACCAGAGGCGCTCAGCTTCTCTTGCTGCCGCATACGGACCCAATTCTGATAGCCGACTCTCAGCGTCTTGGATTGCTTGCGCTTCTTGCATGGCCTGGATCTCATGGGCCGTCATTGGCGTGTACTGGTACATCGACTCCCGACACGAAGGGCATTTGTCGCGGGGTGAGCCCCAGGTCTCCGTCCACTGCATGATGCATTTGCGGTGGAAGACGTGCGAGCAGCTTTTGACGGCGACCATGTCATATGACGCATCGTTGAAGTCCTCTTGGCAAACAACGCAGATACCGATGTCTGCGAACTTGGGGGTGCCTGGGAGAATGCGACACGGCGCCAAATGGTCGCGATAGAACTCGGTGCGGGTAGGTAAAGCCATGGTGCGGGTTGGTGGATGTGAGTCTTTTGGTATTGAGTGTGGTTGTAGGTAGTGAAGAGGAAGCAAGTTGGTGGACTGGGTCAGGGTCCGCTTGCGGAGAAACCAGGGTTGCCCGATTGGGTGACGCTCGCCTTCACGGCAAGACATAGTCGTGGTGTGTGGGTTTGACGATGCTTCAGACATGAATAATAGGCGTATCCCGATTCATTTTCTTGGCCGCCAGTAAGCAGGATGTTATTGGCGAGGCATCCATTTCTCAGGCCGCTGGTTGGCCTAGTGTTTGGTTGCGAACCATGGATACGCACCATATTTTCTCGCTCAGATTCCACAGAGCCTCTGCGGGATTCCGTATAACACGAGCCTTCAGCACACACTCCTTTCGAGATCAATACACCCCCTTTTCAAGCCGAAATCTAATTCGCCTTTCACGCCGCCGTTCACGCCGCCATCCAAGCCTCACTCGCAACTTCACCGGTATCCGCCATGGCCATTCCAACTCTCTACACATTTTACACTACCAGTCTCGCTGCCTACACACCCAATAATATCGACGATGAGTGTCCCATCTGCGCCATCTCATATCGCGATGCTTTGAGCGACGTGGCGCCAGACGTCGTCGCGACGCCCTGCGGCCACAATTTCCACCGCGACTGTCTCGACCATTGGCTGAGGGACGGTCCTAGTGACGAAGCTACATGCCCCAACTGTCGCATGGCTCTTTGCAAACGCCCTACACCGAAGAGAGGGTTCGCTCTACAGTGTCTTGATCCTGCTCTCTCAGACAACTGGGCAGAGGAGAAATGGGAAGCAATATATCTCATGGAACATTTGGTAAAGAGTACTGGCTTGACGGACATGCTTTACGAAGTCGTCGAGGAGCTGTTCGTGACATTTCGCAATTTACGAGAAGATGCGACTGGAAGATTGTTATCAGGTCTTCCATGGGCCGACGTTTTCCAGCAAGCATTTCCTTTCTACAAAGTCCTACTACGTGGGGCCGCGCAATCTTCCGATACGAGCCAAAGGGGAAGGTCGCTCGAGGAAGAAATATTGTTGTATCCTGGCGGGCCAGGAGAATACGTTGCAGTGCGTACGATCTTGAGGGCAATCGCGAAATCCAACAGGGAGAGAGGGTGGGTCAATTCTGCTGTATTGGTTGTACTTGACCGGTTTCGAAACTGGGAAGAGGAAGAGACGATGAGTATCGTCGAGGCTTATCGAGGGCTCGGATTCTTCGCGTTGGCAGACGAAGCGGTGAGGGGGCAGAAAGCGTGAGATAGGATAACTTCTGGGATGATGTGTCCAGCATGATGCGGACAATGCGTTCTGGGTAAGGTCGGAGCCCTATGCGATCTGTTTGGGGCCGTTGGGAACGTCGGCGGTTGACGTTGCGCTCCCAAAATTAGCGAATCAATCCTGGGCATACTTATGTTAGTTCATGTCGACGGGCCAACTTCACGCTGTAATGTTGAAAGTGATCGTGCGCTGAAACCTCCGTGGACATTGTCTGAGCAAGAATTGAGACAGATGTCTCACGAATGGAACGTGACTTTTTGCGCGAAGACATGGCCAAGCTAGCCGCGGGCTACAAGACAGCTTGTAAAGTAGTGCAGAAGACCGCTTCGACCGCATCTCAGGCATTATGGGTGACAGCCGGTCAACAGTAGCAAGCTGGCTAGGAGTACGAAGCTTATCGAACGTATCGAGCTTGTCGACGCGATCGGCCTCGACCTCAAGCATTATTGGCGATAGCCGTTCGCGAGTAGCAAGCTGGTTGAAAGTACGAAGCTTATCGAACGTGTCGAGCTTATCGAGCCTACCGACGCAATCAGCCTCAATCTCGACCACGTCCATCGCCGCTATTCCTCGCGAGAATACACCGTTCGGTCATCTGGCGGTCCTTCGCGGTATACACAGCACCTTGATCGAGAAGTCTTATCCGCAACAACTAGATATCAGTCCTTCGGTTCTCGACAGCTTCAGCGAGAGGATAGTCGAACGTGTCCAACAGGAGATCGCCACGATCGTGTCGACTGATGGTTTCGGTCCCGGAACAGACTGGGATCGGCGCGTTCTCAGGCCGATAATCGCGACGTTCGAGATCGAAGAGGACCTCGGAGTGTGTCAGGGGGATGCAGAGTACGTGTTCCTGCTGGTTACTGTACTGTCATTAGCGTACGAACTCTTGCTCCTAGCAGATAAGAGCAAAGCGCACAAAACGCATACTTTCCTTGAACAAGTATTCGACGAGTACTTCGTAGAGCCAGAGATCTGCCGAACAGTTGGACTTATACTCGACGCTGAACGGATACGGTTGGCTCAAATGAACGCCGAGATGAAGACAACGAAGGCGATCCAGGATATGCGGATGCTGCTGCCCGAGATCGACATGGTCGCAACGGTATTGTGGGATGTGAACATGTTTCATAGCCTGCGATCCGGCGATGTTCCGACTTATGTCCGACGACATGTGCGCATGGACGATGTGCTCGAGCCGGAGGTACGAATCTCAAAGTGGAGCGAAGAGGCGGCCACCACGTTCTTCCAAGAAGCTAGGACATTCGCGCCAATGCGTTGTACTACCGAGGCCGCTCCCGATGTGCAGGTGAAGGTCTTCCTGGAGCGCGGTTGTTCATTGCCAATCTACTTCGTAACATCCATCGCCTTCCGTGGGGATCGCGCGATAATACACACGTCGGAAGGTCTGAGTATGGAGCTCAAGGAAGGCTGTTCGATCTCTTCAATTACTGGGGTCTGCGACCGGATGCGCCTTACGAAATGGGAGGGTTCCAAAGATGGCTTTATTGGTACGATGTCCATTCCTCCGGGTTGCTCGTATCGTGCGGCCAACGTAACTGGCGTAGCCGAGGGAACAAGCAATACGCTCCTGACGATTATCGATACAGCGCCTGCTACGTTCGAAGTGGATGGAGACAACTATCGTATCAAGCCTGTGAATTTCGGTAGTAGTATCGTCGTGGAACATCGTAGTCAATAAGGGGCGCTGCTCGCATACGCAATAGGACACTGGTCACGTCCATACCCGAGCGTTCGGTGTGGAGAAGAAGAGGAGAATGAGTTATCGCAGATAGAAAGACTTCGAATCGTAGATTATATTCATTGATGATGACGCTGTCGTGCAAAGTAGTGATGCTGGTGTCGCGTTGAAGGAGGCCACATGCGCCATCGGCAGCTCGGGAATTGGAGATGACTAAGATGCACTAAGCCAAACACGGCGATGACGCACCACGGAATTTCGCGACTTCGCATCACCAAGCGCAACTCGCCTTACGGTATCAAGATCACTCTGGATAGCCACTCGGATGCTAGCTAGTCGCAACCTGGGATACCTTACTTCTGCGATGCCAAGCTTCTCTCGCGATGCGGCGCACCCAGCAATCCCAACAAGCTTCTTCTTCCGGTTCTCAGACACCCAGAGTTCAGCATAGGATATCCATTGCACGCGATACACTGGAGTGCGGCCGCGTATTCAGATCGAAACTACCTGCCCCGTAGAGAGCGGCTATAGGCCATAATCGAAGCTACTATAGGTCATTCTAGATGTATATGGCTGGTGCGCTGAGATCTGTACTCCAATTCATTCTTTTTTCCCGCACCTCCCATTTTGTTTATGCTAACTACGGAACATCGCTGGATGTTAAGACCTATTTGGCGAAGCAAGTAGCCAATGCAGACTCTGATGCAACTCAGCTGGTAGACTTGAATAGGTGACAACCATGGTTGAGAGAATTCGCCGCATTTCGAGGCGAAAATCTCATCACCGCACTGCCGTCGGATTTCGTATATAACATGCCGGATATCGTGCACACTTTAACTCTTCTGAAGATACAGTATCACCACTAGTACAACGACAGCTACCACTACTACAATTTCAACTACAGCTTCAATTACAACAACTTCAACTACTACCACCACTACAACAGTAAGTACTACTACTACCACAAACCCCTTTCACAGAGACGCTAACTATCAAGATGCTGTTCACGATTCTCATCACCAGAATCCTGGTCTGTCTTGTAACCTTCGCCAACGGCGCTCCCGTCAACGTCGATCCTCGGAAACCACCACCAATGCAGGGCCCCGGCGGATATGTCTCAGTGCCTTCGTATTCATCGGACAGCTGTGGCCTTGTCACCCCCACCGCCGAGATCTGGAGGCAGCACCTACCGAGCATCCAGGTATTTGCTGCCGCGCACTGGAGCGGCTATCTGAACAACCCGGGCTACAACTCATTCCCGCACTATCTTCGCGACAAGCTTGCGCCCAGTGTAGCGCCAAGTGCCTCCTATTGCGACACTGTTGGAGGATGCAGCTTCTCTTGCCAAGCTCTCAATCCCTCGCTATCGCGACACGATAGGCAGATGGCTTACTTCCTCTTCGAACAGATCGCCGGTGTGGACCACCTGTACAAGAGCCTCCGCGAAGGCTTACAGGAAGGTGCAATGTATGCGGATGGACAAGTGCCTTCACTTGTGGCGAGATACAGCGCTGCATCACGCATCTCGACGCAAATCCAACAGGAGAAGAACGATCACAAGAGGCAAGAGAAGCTCGGCATGGCCGCCGTCTCCGCTCTACTGATGATGGCTGGTGGGGCACTAGCTATCCCAGGTTTCATCGGTCTCGACAAGACTGCCGCGCCTTCGATGGTCAACATGGCCTCGTCTACTTACATCTCCGTCATCGGCACAATCAACAACGCTCGAGCTGACCCTGTGAAGCTTCCTGACAGCGTCGAGGCGGTTATACGCTCATCCCTGAACGACTTCCGCCATCACAGTATGATCAGCATTGCCCATGAGTCGAAGCAGCTCATGGAAGGGGACAAGAACAACCATGGCCAAGATCTGCTCAGTTTGATGCAGGGTCAAGACTTCTTCAGACGAGATGGCAATATCCAAGAGGATATCATGAAGATGGCCGAGAGGGTCTTCAAACATGCCGTGATCAACGCATTGTGGCAATGGGAACGGCCCTTTATCGTTGACGCTGACGTACCAACAGGTGCCTGTGAGGTAGACTTTCGTGGACCGACCGAGAACCGAGTGTGCCTGCCGGAACGTCCGGATCACTCATACTGGATATACGCCTTGGATATCTCGCAGGAGAACGACCCTGGTAAAAACCACAAAGCGTTGATCCATGGCCCCACAGGATATCGAAACTTCTTCGAAGGACACAACTCCGACGTCTACGGAGCTACCTTGAAGGACGTCGTCCGCTCATCCCTTGCGGTTCACGAGCACAATCTGTATGACGCTCTACAAACTGCTGACTTCCAGACGGTCCAGTCGGCTCTAGGACAGGCGATGAATTGGGGCAACGGCCAATTCAATCTCATGGGCGCCTACACGTTAGCGATCGCACGTAATCCACGCGGCGAAGCCATTTCCAGTGTCTGGTCCACTCACGGTCGGAATTTCCCTTGCATGGTTGGCGAGTTCGGCTGGAACGACAACACATACAACCCTTACCAGGACCAGACCTTCAACTTCCTGGTTCGAAGCGGTCTCATGTTCTCGGAAGATTGGGAGAACCTTTGCCATAACGAAGGCCATTGCAAAGGCGACAATGACGTAGATTGGCATTCCCGACTCGATGCTCTTCGCAAACCAGGTGATCCGCCGATTCCCGGCAGCCTGAAGCACCCTTTCAGGAAGTGCAAGCAGAAGACCAAGCATGATTACGGTAACCCTTCCTCCGACTTCAATCCTCCTCGTGCGAGGGATCTGAGTGCTGAGTTCGCGAATGCGACGATGTCATGGGCCTAGTCTGTCGCGCGACCTATGGAAAAAGTGAACACCATGGAGCCCACGTTGACGTGAGATTGACTACTTTGCAGGCTTCCATCTTGATGTAGGCTGCAAAATTGTCCGATGTCCCCTTTGTATGGCGTGATGTTACTGGCGTGGTAGGAGAGGTGGATGTATCGGGAGATCACCGCGGGTACCTGGAGAAGTCACGAGACTTGTAAGCATTGGTCAGCGATTGGAATGGTTCGATGGACATGTCGCGTGGAGTATGAACGAGGCTTGTGCCATCCTGTCATGTGTACACTAACATGACTACAAGCCGACATGTGGCTTGTATGCTATCTGCCTATTGGGCCGGCATACAAAATGTACATGTAGAGCAACTCAATAGTGTCTCGCTACACTTACCTGCATGCCGACATTCACGTGCGGTGATACTGCTCTTCTGCGTGCAACATCATGTAACCAGCTTGCCCACCCGACATACCTTCGTCCCCATCGCAATGACCGCGATACATGTTTGAGTCCCTGAGACAGTTTCGTCAAAGATTCCCGAGTCCACATGGAATATGAATGAACACCCCTTGGTTGCATCCAGTATCCACAACGGCGGGTCGCCTGCAAGTAACCGTAGTCTTCACCCGGTATTGGGACGGCAGAGGGTCGTGGGCGAGTATGTTGCCTGAGTCCTAGTTGATGTTGTATAACTAGGAACAACCTAGCAAAAACTGTGCGGCAGAAGGCCCGATGCGGCGTCAGGTAAACAATGGCGACAACCCACACGTGGCGGGAGACGCGGGCTTGACAGCATGAGGCCGGATGGGGACATGGCATGATTCTGGCGTTGAGCGTAGAAGCCTCGTAGTTGGGCAATGGTTCGGAGGCGCAAATGCTGACTGCGCACGATGCTGCACGCCTTGTTTTCTTGGGGCAGCGCGCCTTCTGGGGGCGGGCTCGGCCAATGACGGTTGAACGGAGCCGCACCCGAATCATGTTCCTGGGGCGGATCGATCCTGCAGACGAAATTGTCGAGATACGTCCCGTTACTGCAGATATACTGTGGGTATTCACTGCGACATCAGCATCTGAAGCCGAAAGAGAATGTTTCAACGCCAGAATCAACGCAGAAAGAGACATATGCCCGGGCATCGAAGTTCAAGCGACGCCAAACCTCGTCTCGAGAGCACGCCGATGTGCTCGTGCATTGCGCGCGCTATGGAATTAGGTGCAAGCCACTGCTAGACTCGTGGCAGCCGTGTCCCGGCAGCGCAAAGGAGGGCGTATCAGCCTCATATCGAGTCAGGGTGCCTGAGCGCGAACATCGTCCTATGTATGCGGAGGATATCGCACATGGATCCAGCGGTGTGGCTTTTGGAACCGATGGAGCGAAGGATTCATCGTTCGAGCATGTAGGCGTCATACGTGAACGAGTCGGTACATACCCTAGTGATACCCACGCCGCAGCCATTGATCAAAGAGTGGGTAGCAGATGAGTTCTGCAAAATACATCGGCACGCGTAAGCTCCAGTACCCTGGTGTCGGCGCTATATGACCGCACCCAATGCCGCGAGAACTGCACGTCCGACTTTACGAAGGTTTGTTGAACTGTGAACACTGCACGTCAGCGTGCAACAGCCACACCGCTGTCAACGGGTCCGTGATATCCGTGATGTCGGCGTCCTCGGAGATAATCGAAAGCATTTGTCGGGTGCCGGTGTTCAAGCGGCACAGTCGTTGTGATTCCTTCGCAACATAATTAGATCGAAATGCCCCCGTAGTTTTGAGTTCGATGATGGAGGATACGGGTGGGGCGGAACAGCAATGGATCGCTGCAGGGTGACAAAGATCCGACGCTAGGCCCTGTGCGGTCGGCGCTAGCGTGGGATGCCTGATCTGACCTGGCCGCACGCACAGGCAGACCTTCCCTCCACAACTACGAACCCTTGGATCAACACCATGTTTCGCGTCGATTGCTGCATTCAACACATGGTTTCAGGGTCTAGAAAGTTTCGACGATTTATACAGCCCCCCGTTATTGCCGGACAATACTGGTTGGTGCCTCCCGAAAGCTTCCAACTCGGCCAAGACCTAGCTCCCGTAGCTACAGGTGGCACGACTCATCCATTGGAGGTCCCTGTGACCTGAGACATGACCGTGTTCTTGTGCAAGGGACTGCCATACTTGTTGTCGTGGCGGCATGTTTGCACTGCCGGCGAGGCGGAAATTGGTGTCCCGTAAGCCAGTGTCCAACCAAGAACCATCTTTGCTACCGACCGAATGGGCAGAATGGAATTATCTCCGAGGTCATTGGGATGCACTCAAAATGCCTGGGCGGATCTAATGGAGCGAACCCGTCCAAGTGTTCGTCACTGATGCCCGGATCGTGCGGTTGGCAGAACCTTTTGTCGTGATTTTGGGTTCCACCCTTCACGGAGAGTTCGTGCGCCGCATGCAAGACCCCGCTGATGCGCCACGATTATCGTGCCTTGCGTACGGTCCGTGTACAAGCCGAGCGTCGAAGCCAATGCGACACCAGCGTCGTGACGGTAGCCAGCGCGCCATTGCGCTTCATGACATGGATGGAGCTAACGGCCATGTGCGCAGCCCCACTCTTCACTGAACATAACCCTCGAGACCCTATCCTAGTGGCAAGCTCTCGATCTCGTTTCTTTGACCTTGCCCGCGTGTCCGTCTATCCGCAGCTCGTCAATCTTCCACGCCCACATGTCTCGCATACTTCCCCGGGCAGGCCCACGATAATCCAGTATGCAGCTGCCTCCGGTGGATGTCCTGTTGGGTTGGCCGACTCCGAATTACATTGACCCGGAAACGCGCGGCCCTGCCCTCCTCATCGTCAACAGCATCCTCATCGCACTAACCATCCTCGTTGTGATTGCGCGGTTATACACCCGTATAGTGATCAAGAGGTGGTTCGGTATTGACGATATCTTCATCCTCTTTGCGCTGCTCTTCACGTGCGGTCTCACTGCCGTCGTTCTCCTGGCAAACCTCCGATATGGATGGGATAGGTAAATAACCCGATGTCCATTCGCATCGCATACAGCTAATCATCAAACCACTATAGACATGTTTGGGATATACCCTTTCACATGTTCGTTCCGGCCTACAAAATTGCCATGACTGCCAAGGTCGTCTTCACAGCGGCCGCGAGCTTCACGAGACTCTCTCTGCATTGCTTCTACTACCGCTTGGTCACAGACTCGGGAAAGACGTGAGTACTCTCGGTATCGCGTTCCAATAGCCCTGCTAATTCGTCTAGATGGTTCAAGTGGGCGGTCCACGTCAACGTTGCCTACACACTCGGCATCTTGATATCGTTTCCCTTCATCGCCATCTTCTTCTGCACACCCATCAAGAACTATTGGACCATCGGCGCACCGGCAGACACTTGCATGGACGAGGGAACTGCGACTCTCATTTGCGGAATCATCAACTGTGTCGCGGACTTCCTTACTACCTTAACACCAATACCTTTGGTCATGGGCGTGAGTTGGCTCAATCCCATACGCAAGGCAGAACACTACTAACTGATCCCAGCTCCACATGCGTCTGCGTGAGCGCATGGCTGTCGCCGCGCTATTCGGTATGGGGCTAATTGTCTCTGCTGCTGGTATTGTGCGTACCTGGTTCATCTATCGCAGTCTCTTTAACAACGAGTACGATCAAACCTGGTACGCATATCCACTGTGGATTGCGGCCGCTGTAGAGATAGACTTGGGTGTAGTAAGTCATTACGTACGACTGCTAATCAGTGACACGATGCTTACTGGCCACAGATATGCGCCTCGGCCCCAGTACTAAAACCTCTCCTCGCGAAGATCCCCTTCAGTCTATCGCAATCCTTCTCAGGTGGCATATCCTTCAAGAAGAGCGCGAACTCATCAAAGACGCTAACCGCCAACGCATCAGCGTCGCATTCCTCCACGAACCGGAAATCCGCAGCACCGCGCAATGCGCCAGAACTCGCAAACGACAAAGGCAACAGCTATGAGATGAAGCATTGGGCGGACACAGAACAGGATCTGGAGCGAGGGAGCCAGGAAGCTATTTTGGAAGAGGAGGAAGCTCCCAAAACGGGAATGTCCCGCCTGTGGGGCAAGGTCCGCCCGAAAAGCAACAATGGAAATATGAATACGGACACCGACATGACGATAACTTTGACCAGCGAAGTGGAACTGCAAGTCGAGCGGATGAAGCAACGTCCGGCGCGGTACGAGACACACGGTGACCTTCACGAGAACCACATGCCATTACCACCGCTGGCACCGCGATCCAGCGGACACGACCGGTGACGCCACGACCCGACTTGCGCGATCAATACGGATAGCGACAACATCCTCAAACCGACATCAAAGATCTCACGTCGCGCATCATGTACGCGCAAGCGGGAAACATAAAGTTACGACTGGCATATTGGGGGCGCTTACATCTTGGTGGATTTTTCTGCATCGCTTTAGCATATGATACCACGTTCGACGACTCTATCAAGGGTACAAAAATAGACATCTCAGAATACAGACGGCCAGGACGCCGAATACATCAATAATCTCAGTGCGACGCGCCGCTTCGTCCACATGCTTGACGCGTGGATCCGTGTAGTGAGCGGCCCGCATTGGACGTCAATGACGGAAGGCTAACATGTTAGCAGTATGACAGCTCTTAGCTTCGCGCACAGGAATTTCGACGATCCAGCTCAACACTTTCGCTCCCTCGATTCGTGAGAGAAGGCGTTCTGCGCCATCTTCATCCTATCCACGATACCCTTGGATCGCAGCCCTTGAGCTCACCCGGCGAACATCGGCCAGACTATTGAAGCAACTCCAACCACCCAACTGCGAAAGCGCCGTCCATAAGCATGCCGTAAGCGTCGGATCTGGCCCTGCAAACCTTCGCCGCGATACTATTGACACCAACGAGCTTCAAACTGCATTAACTACCTCACTTCGCGTTTCAAAACAACCATCCAAGGTTTACACGTCACACGCATACCTGTCGGCACTGTCACAAAAGGACGATCAAATCTAGAACGCCATCGGATGCGAATCCCGAGGCCAACTCGACTCATTGTGGACAGTGGAGCGTTCAGAACTGTAAAGAGTCACACTGCTTGTTATGGAAAGTTACGGAAGTGTTCTCACGTGTATGCGGCGTAACGGCGTGTGCTCCGACGGCTCTTGGAAACGCTAGCCCAGGTCTTGTCATCCGACTGATGTTCCTCGGCAAAGCTTATTTCTTCCGGCACTACAGCCTTAGACCTTGTCCATAGGGTGGGTGGGGGAGGCGGAGGGGCGGTGGAGGGGAGGATGGTGGATTCTGTTGCGTCAACAAAGAAAGCAGAGAGGATGAATCGTGATGTGTTGATGGAAGGTGGGTGGTGTTGGGGTGGTAAGTGCCTCGTCAGGTGGGTGATCCTCGGCAAAGCTTATATCTTCCGGAGCTACAGCCTTATACCCTGGTCTCCCCCGCAATCTCTACAGCCAAAATACGGGGAGGGCAGACGCCAGAGAACCTGGAGTCGCAACCTCGTGACGTCCTTAGGCTGATAAAAGTACAGGCCTTGTCGCTGTTGGAGGAGAAATTGCACTCCGTGCATTTCCAACTGCCTTTCTCATCTAGTCCACGGACGCAAATATGAACTATGTATATTGATGCAGTAAGAACGAGGCTGCAGAGACATTTGTTTAAATGTGGGCGATGTACCAATTCTCTGGTTGATCCAGACGATCGCCCGGTTCTTCTCTCGTGGTAATAATAGTAACAGCCAGTCATGCCTTCTCCATCCAAGATCGCCGCGCTTGGCCTTGTGGCTACGGGTTCTTTTGTAGCCGCTGGACCTTGCGATATCTATGCCTCGGGCAACACGCCTTGCATCGCCGCTCACAGCACTACTCGCGCACTTTACAATGCTTTCAGTGGTTCTCTCTACCAGATTAAGCGCGGTTCCGATGGCGCTACCACCAACGTCGCACCTCTCTCCGCTGGTGGTGTAGCCAATGCTGCAACTCAAGACAAGTTCTGCGCCAACACCACATGTCTCATCACCATTATCTACGATCAATCCGGTCGTGGTAACCACCTCACTCAAGCTCCTCCAGGAGGCTTCAATGGTCCGGAAGCTAATGGCTACGACAACCTGGCTGGTGCCATCGGCGCACCAGTCACATTAAATGGGAAGAAGGCATATGGTGTCTTCGTCTCACCGGGTACTGGATACCGCAACAACAAGGTCAGCGGTTCAGCCACTGGTGATGCAGCAGAGGGCATGTACGCTGTGCTCGATGGCACGCATTTCAACGACGCATGCTGCTTCGATTATGGCAACGCCGAGACCAACAACCTCGACACCGGTACGCAGACGCCCACACCTTGCTATCAATCATCTCACTAACAACCCCCACAGGAAACGGCCACATGGAAGCTATCTACTTCGGAACCAATACAATTTGGGGCACCGGCGCCGGCTCTGGCCCCTGGCTAATGGCCGACCTGGAAAACGGCCTCTTCTCCGGCATGTCCCCGAAGAACAACCCCGCAGACCCTACCCTCACAGACCGCTTCCTCACCACCGTCTTGAAGGGCGGCGCGAACAAGTGGGCTCTCCGCGGCGGCAACGCTGCATCCGGCTCGCTATCAACGTACTACAACGGCGCGCGACCCAGCGCCTCAGGCTACAACCCCATGAGCAAGGAAGGCGCGATTATCCTGGGTATCGGTGGTGACAACAGCAATGGAGCGCAAGGAACGTTTTACGAGGGCGTTATGACGACTGGGTATCCGAGTGATGCGACGGAGAACGCTGTGCAAGCCAATATCGTTGCGGCGAAATACGCGACTACGAGCTTGACCAGCGGACCCGCTTACACAGTCGGATCATCAATCTCATTCCGCGCCACGACTGCTGGATACACGGATCGCTACCTCGCTCACACCGGCTCAACCGTAAACACGCAAGTCGTATCTTCCTCCAGCACCGCACTGCTTAAGCGACAGGCTAGCTGGACTGTACGCGCCGGACTGGCGAACAGTGCTTGTTTCTCGTTCGAATCGAAAGACACGGCTGGGAGTTACATCCGCCATTTCAACTTCGTGTTGCAGCTGCAGGCGAACGATGGGTCGAAGGCGTTCAAAGAGGACGCGACGTTCTGTCCCCAAGCTGGCTTCATGGGCTCGGGCAGTTCGATAAGGGCGTGGGGGTACCCAACCAGGTATATTCGTCATTACAACAACATCGGAAACATCGCTAGTAACGGTGGTGTTCATGACTTCGATGCTGCGGCGAGCTTTAATGCGGATACGACGTGGAGTGTTGGTACGGGGTTGGCTTAGAGGGGTGGTAACGGGATGGGAACGGGATGGGGGTAGTGTTGGCTTGGGATGTTGTTGGAGTGGGCTGTTCACGTAGGGGAACCCCTCATAAGCAATGGTTCCTGGGAGGGATTCCCGTACGTAAACAGCCCACTTCTTCAATATCTCAGGCCAAGAAGAGCTGGGTACTTCGCACGGTATTAGACTGTCGAAGAACATCTCGATAGGTGGTTGTAGCACTCGAAAAAGCCGCCTAACCCATGGCTGCATTGTCTGTTATTCGGCTTTTTTGAGTGCTACAACCATCTGTGTTGAATTATACGAAGATCACCTTTACAGTGTATACACTAGCCAAACTTCTCTCGTACAGCACGCACCACCTACTGTACATCTACTATTCACTCACGATACTGGTATAGTAACTTCACAGCGTTCAAAACACCATCATTCTATACGCGTATTTCAATACTTCACTACTACTACCAACAAAACCTCAACACAACAGCGCGCAATCCAGCTACTCCACCAAACAACAGACCCGCAATCCTTTCACAACATGTCTACAGCCACAGCACACGTCAAGCGTCCTTTTGTAGGTGGTGGCGCTTTAAAGGCTCGGAATCGTGTCAAAGAAGAACTTGAAAGCGGGAGGCAGTTAATTCACCAACCAGCAACCCCGCCATCCTTTCACAGCATGACCACAGGCACAGCACACGCAAAGGTTCCTTTTGTAGGTGGTGGCGCTTTCAAGGATCGAGATTTGGCCAATAGAGCACTTGAAAGCGAGAAAAAGTTGCGAGAGTTGATGGGCATGTTGCTTGAAGCCGTGCTATCAGGTCCTCTCGAAAAAGAAGAAGTATCGTCAGCACAAGAGGTTGAAGCTGATGATGAGGATGAGTGGGAGGATGTTGAGGGTGATGATGATGATGAAGATGAGTGGGAGGATGTCCATGATGAGGATGTATGGGAGTATGTCGACGATGACGAGGAGTTGGAGGATGTCGACGATGAGAATGATTGGGAAGATATCGACGATGAAGAGGATGACGAAGAGTTGGAGGATGTTGAGGATGAGGATGGTGGGGAGGATATCGATGATGACGATGACTTGGAAGACACCGAGAACGCTGAATCTGCGTTACTAAGTTCGTTGCGAGCATTGATGCAGCCGCTGACAGTCTCAAGTCTATCGGACCCATCGACGCAAACACTTCCACTACCAGAGTCATCACGATGCGACTCCGAGAATGACTGCTCCTCTGACGACCATTCTTCTGACCTCATTAGCGACCCCACTAACGACATCTCTTCAGTCGCTAGCTCTTTCAACGACAAGTCTTCAGACAACAGCTCTCCGGACCACAGCTCTTCTATCGCTAGCTCTTCAGACGACAGCTTTCCAGACAAAAATTTATCAGACAGCGATTCCGCAGAATCCTCCAACTCCTTCGACTCCTCGCACTCCTCACGCTCCCCAGACTCCTCCTCTAACTCCTCCTTATTCTTATCCTCTTTCTTATCTAACAACCCCCCTACCAAAGACTACCCCCCTATCGGCCACCTATCCTTCGCTACCATCGAAGAAGCCCGCACCGCTTACTATTCAATGTTAGTGAAGGTGGAGAATCTACTTGTAAAGTGGTATCACAAGGACGATGTAACAGCACTTGTCAAGACCTTGATCGAATCTGCTCAGGCGTCGTATGCCGAGCAGGAGGAGTTTTGGAAGGATAGGCGCATAGTTCAGGAGTGGTTCGGAGGTATAGATAAGTGAACGTATGTTGTACTAGCTATGATAGGATGCGATGGAAACGAGGTGGTGGCCGAAGAAAGCATCGTGGATGCGGGTATGTATTTGCCCGCCTGTTCTTGCAGCACTACAGTATTGTTTGCGCAGCGAATGCAGTAGTCATTAAGGAGAGATTATGCACAAACAGTCTCTTTCGCAAAGTCCATCTATGGTGCAGTGCAGTGATGGTGCGGTCTTCGGCATGACCTCGGGATGCAGCGATGGATAGCACTGACACTAATCCATTCCCGGACTAATCCAAGGTCCCGACAGGCGCAACCAGACATCCGGTTTCAGCGCACGACGCAGTCCAACAATCCAACATATCTCCACTCTGTGACTCTACACACGATGTAACTTGAACCAGTCATATAGTGAATCGCTCTTCCCCATAAATAGCGAAGGAACAAGAACCACAAGCACATTTCACGAGCAGTTCTTCTCCTCAGCGGCATTCCTTTTGGTGTAGCCTGTTATCGACCTGTTCTAATCAGCCATCATGAGCAGCCCTCCGCAGATCTGCATCACAGACATGCCTGACCCCACACAACCTCAGGTAGACTTCCTAGAGTCGACATGGTTCAAAACGCATGGCAACACTCAAGCTTTCCCTTCTCCTGACCACGTGCGCTCATTCATACAGCCGCGCCAGGGCGCCCGCCCAGTGACATTCGCGCAACTCGGTCTCGTCGTCAAATTTGGGGTCGATGTGCATACTTCAGAAGGTGTGGCTCTCTGGATGATGAACAAGCTTCTAAAGGATAAGGTCCCCGTGCCTGAAGTCTACGGTTGGAGGGTCGTGGAGCGGGCAGGCAAAAGTAGCGAAACCTTCATTTACATGCAGCATATACAAGGACCTACGCTTGAACGGATGTGGGAATCGATGTCTTCTGCGGATAAGAGCTCGGTCTGCAGTGATCTTCGAGCCATGACGTCGTGTTATCGCGAGGTTAGATTCTCTGGGTTGCAGCCACACATTGGTAAGTGTAATCCCATCAGTTTGCAACGCCTCTAACAGTTCATACAGGGTCTATCCGCCAGGAAGCTGGATCGGATCGCTGTCTTGAAGGTCTGCCATCACTAAGACCCTTTCCTACTCGGGCTTCTTTTCACGACTGGCTGTCCTGGCTATGGCGACGCGATGTGCCAAACCCAAAGAGCATCGAAGATCCCTGGCGACAGCTGCTCCCTGACGAAGGACCTATAGTTCTAACGCATGGTGATTTACGGCCGGCTAACATCATCGTTACGGCCCAGTCACCTGTCCGTGTGGCGGCTATCGTCGACTGGGAGCAAGCGGGGTGGTACCCAGACTATTGGGAGTACTGCAAAGCCGCTTTTACGGCATCACATGATGGGGAATGGCGCGGATGGATTGACCAGTTTTTGAAGCCTCAGGAGGCTGCCTTGGAGGCTTTCGATTTCTATACCATGGCTCTTGGGAAGTTCTGATAGTGAGCGATAGAGCAGGAGTTCAAGGCTTGGAAAAATTGTATTATTTTATATAGTATGGTTCGATGACCAGCACCGATGTGACAAAATTGACAAGCGTCAAACGAGGGTAACGGATCCAGCGAAACGGATCAAGCATTCACCCGTAGACGCATACATGGACTATGACAAGGTAAAGGAATTATATCACAGCCTGCATCCGTGGAGAAGAATCGAGCTCTGGCATGCTCGAATAGCATCCCAAAACGACCTGGCCCCGCGACAACACTGCACCTGAGCCGATGGATACATCACTCGTTCTGTGGCCCTGCTTGCTCTGCGGCCTGCTGTTGACGCTCTGCAGCAGGTCGAAGCCCGATACCAACATTGGGGGGGTCTCGCCTTGCCTGGACCGTTTCAATGGCCGATTCCTGAAGATAACCTTTCTGGACGAGGCGGCGCACATAGTCCATCGTCCACTCCTGGCATCTACGGTTCGTAGTCTACCTGATTCAGCGCGCTAGTCTAAGAAAGACTGTGTGTTACTCACATCGTTCACTGGTGCGAGGAAGTTTTCGCTCTTCCTAGGTGGCGGGACCTGCTCAGCTATCTTCTCGAGAGTACCCATTGCGGTGTAGTGGTCCATCATTTCGCCGTCCCACTTGTGAATCAAATCCTCTTGCACTTCACCGAGCGGTACCAATTGTGGTGCGCGAGCTGTCTTCGTATGGTCATACTTGCGCTTGAATTCCAGCTTGAAACCTGACATTGGTGTTCCAACAACGTGGATCGCTGTCCCAACAAGACCGTCCTCTTCGTCTGGCGCCCAAATACCGAAGTGAGCTCGCTGGTTCTTTGGAGCGGGCCAGATGATCAGATACAAAGTTCGTGTGGACATTGTGATGGGTATTTAGATGAATGGATTGCAGAATTGAGGATAATGGACAATGGCTACTGGTGATGCAAGACAATACCATTATGCTACTTATACCACCGTATGAGCCATAGGAATCAGCTACTACAGTCAGGCTTCTCAGTGAGCCACCGCTTTGAGCCATTGCTATGAGCCATCGCTCTGAGCCATGAGTTTGAAACACCAACATGAGCTACGGTAACGGGTCCACATAGAGTGGACTTCGAGTCACTACGACAACTCAAGCTCCACGACCGATACACTAACGCTGAGGGTACACACAGAGCCATGTGTCTCAGCTAAGAGTCAGAGATACCGAGGGAAAACTAGGCAAGAGCTTGAGCCCGTAGAAACGTCACGCTCTCGGCATCAGTTGGTGATTTGTGAGCGTTTGGCTGCTGCCATGGTGTAGATACTAAAGGTAACGCTAAATAGATCTATAAATGCCATGAGTTACCAGATGCGTGTTATCAATGGACTTGTTAGCTTCGGTAGTAATGAGAAACTAATGTTTATGAAGTAAGTATGTGGGACGTGCTTTATGAGAAGAAAATGATGCGGAGAAGGACGAACAGAACGGACTCCTACAGACTAATACTGGTACAAAGCTACCGTGGTACCGATCGCTACAGAACAGATAGAATGCAGAGTAGGCGGACCAACATGCCAAGAGTAAGGCAAGAGGGGAGACGCCGAGAGAATAACCAAGATCCTTGAAGACGAACTTGGACTGAGGAAGCGGCGATATACCAGTCTCAAGGAAACGAGTACGCAGTAGGGCAGTTGTCGAAATTCATTAATTAAAAAAGGTCGGTGCAAGCAGCCCCAAAATATCTTCTCTTGTGAGTGAACAAAGCAATATGGACTTGATCGAGCGGACGGAACACAAAACCCTTTACTCCAAAAAGGCCCACCAATGTCCCACAATGAACATACTGATACGTACGAAGAAAGGCTATACCGAGTACGATTTCTGTAACCCAGTAGTAGCATGGACTCATTCCAAGTCGCATCGCCTCGCCTCGTCTCTTATCACCTCCTGGTCTTCCTTGCAATATACCAAACAACCAAATTCCCCTTCCCACGCATCCCTAGCAGTTGCACCCACCAGGCCCCTGAGTCTGGTTCGCCTCAGGCCTGAGGTTAACGCCCTGTCGTTGCTGGCCCGGTCTCAGGTTCCTGGGTCCCGCCTGGTCGATGGGCAGTTTCTTCGCGATAGCCGTGAAGAGCTCCTTCACGTTCTCGCTTGTCTTGGCCGACGTCTCGAAGAAGAGGAGGCCGGCTTCGCGGGCGTATTGCTCGGCGTCGGCGGTGGAGATGGCGCGCTTGTCGGGGGATTCGGTCACGAGATCGAGTTTGTTGCCGGCGAGGGCGATGATGATGTTTTCGTTGGCTTGGCGTTGGAGTTCTTTGACCCAGGCTTTTGCTTTGTCGAGGGAGGCCTGGGGGTGTTAGTCTGGGGAAGGTGGAAGGTGAGGGATAGGGACGTACGGCCTGTGTGATGTCGTAGACGACGACGGCGCAGTTTGCGTTTCGGTAGTACATGGGCGCGAGCGACTTGTAGCGCTCTTGGCCGGCGGTATCCCAGATCTCGAACTTGACCGTCGTGTTCTCATCGAGGGCGATGGTTTGGGTGAGGAAGGCGGCGCCGATGGTGGATTCCCGGTAGTCGTCGAATTGGTCCTGCATACATTAGTCCTCGGAACATGTCTGGACATGTGGTATGGCGTACCTTGACGAAGCGCAATACTAGAGACGACTGCGGCATGTTAGCTTATGTCATGGCTGCCTTGATAGGCCTGCGCACCTTTCCGACGGCGGATTCACCTGGGCAGGTTAGTCATGTCTTCATACACATATCATAGTAATCTCGTACCCAACAGCACCAGCTTGAACTGTGCGAATCTGGAGCCTCCGGGCCGTTGGCCTTGCTGCATCCTGGCCGACATGATGGGGGTGACGCGGCGCTAGCGGGTTGTGGCGGAGGGGGCTGGTGTAGAGTGGGCGAGGGTGGTGGTGCGAGTAGTGGGCGGTCAAGGCGGGACCGGGTCGGGGTATGGGTGAGAGAGGCGTGTTGGGGTGTGGTGAGGGTGAAAGAGCTGGATGGTGCTGTGACGAGGTGCTGCGTCTGGTGCTTGGCCCTAGCGCGCGAGTCGGGGACCCTTGGCCGCAATGGCCGCCATGACGAAACCTCCCGTTTGAGAAAACACATCCAAACACATCGCGCCAAACACCACCTAGGTACACACTCAACACCACTGTCAGATCCCCGTATACACGCCGGTGGACGAGATTATCATGAGCGTCGCTCTCCCCTACCGCGACATCAACGTCCACTCGTCGCCCTCGCACTACGCCTTCTCGTCGCCCTCGTCGCCCTCGGCCCCTACACTCGTGGTAGACCGTCCGTCAGGTGACATCCGCCTCCACGATGGCAAGCTGCTGGGCTCCAAGCGTGTGTCGAGCATTGCCGGCATCCTGGGCATGATCAAGCTGCGACTAGGTATGCCTCTCCTGCACAGCACTAGGGGACACGAATGCTGATGCACGTGAAGACAAGTACATCATCGTCATTACCAAGGCCCAGCCCATGGGCCGGATAAAGGGCCACATGATCTACAAAATAGTCTCGACCGAGTTCCTCTCCCTGCGCGAGAAGCCGCTGCACGACGCCGACGAGGACAACTACCTCAGCCTGCTCAAGACGCTCATCAAGACGTCCCCGCTGTTCTTCTCCTACTCCTTCGACATCACCAACACCTTCCAGCGCCAGGCCCACCTCGACCCCGCAACGCCCCTGTGGAAGCGCGCCGACGACCGCTTCTACTGGAACCGCTTCGTCTCCAGCGACCTCATCGACTTCCGCGGAGGTCTCAGCGGCGGATATGGCAGGCACTCGAGCGGACACCAGCCAGGCGCGGACCCCTACATCCTGCCCGTCATGTACGGAATGCTCGAAATCAAGAACACATCCATCAAGGGCACCCCTCTCACCTTCATCCTCATCACCCGCCGCTCGCGCCTCAAGGCCGGAACCCGCTACTTTTCGCGCGGCATCGACGAGAACGGCAACGTGTCCAACTTCAACGAGACGGAGCAGACCATCATCCTGAACGACAACGCATCGGGCGGCCCCGGCGGGTTCGGCTCAAACCAGAACGGCGCAGCAGGTGGAAATGCCGGAAAGGAGACACAGGTGCTTGCATACGTGCAAACAAGAGGGAGCGTGCCCGTCTACTGGGCCGAAATCAACACCCTAAAATACACGCCCAAGCTACAAGTCCGCGGCATCGACAACGCGCTGCCAGCCGCCAAGAAGCACTTCGCCGAGCAAATCCGGCTCTACGGCGACAACTGGATGGTGAACCTCGTCAACCAAAAAGGCCGCGAGCAGCGCGTCAAAGAAGCCTACGAGCAAATGGTCAACCTGCTGCACACATCCCCCGCCGAAAACGTCGAAGGCGACCGCATAACCTCTGAGAAATTCCACATCATCGACCCCGCCAAAGCGCAAACCGTATACGACCGCCTCCACTACGTCTACTTTGACTTCCACAACGAAACAAAGGGCCTAAGGTGGGACCGCGCCAAACTCCTCATGAACGAACTCGAGCCCCACGTCCTCAAACATGGCTACTTCTGCGGCGTCGACATGCCCGGTGATGGCAGCGGCGTGGAAGTCCGACGGCACCAGACGGCTGTGGTGCGCACGAACTGCATGGATTGTCTCGACCGTACGAACGTTGTACAGAGTATGCTAGGCCGCTACGTTCTCAGCCGCATGCTCATCGACTGCGGTCTCATGCGCGAAGGCGAGTCCGCAGAAGAGGATCAAGCATTCGAACACCTGTTCCGCAACGTCTGGGCCGATAATGCGGATGTAGTGTCGAAATCATATTCTGGTACCGGAGCCCTAAAGACCGATTTCACACGCCTGGGTGTAAGGACAAAAGCTGGTGCGCTGCAGGATCTAAACAACAGTATCACAAGATATTGTCTTAATAACTTCACCGATGGACCGAGACAGGATGCATTCGATTTGTTCCTGGGCAACTACCTGCCCAGCGACTCTAGTATGAGCGGACAGCTTCTTTTCGCGGATCGGAGACCGCTCTTCATCCAGTCGATACCGTATATCCTCGCCGCAGCCGTCTTTTTCATTTTCGTAGGCACCTTCACTCAGCGTGCACCCGACGCGGCGGTCTGGCCGTTACGTCTCCTCCTTCTCATTTCCCTCCTCACCGCGGCAGTCTGCGCGAATTTCATTTGGAACCATGGGACGTTATATGTAAGTCTTCGGCTTTCCCTTCCCTTTTCCTCCCTTCCTTCCCCTTCATTTATCCACCGATCCACCCATCAGAACCTTGCGTGTCATACTCGCTAACGCTCGCTCCCAATAGGTCAACTTCCCCAAACTCAACCGCCAACCCCCTCAAATCGAAGCCTTCCAGGACACGCTGGCCAAAGTAAGGAATAACCCTGTTGTGGGCCCGTTGGTGGGGGGTGCGGCGAAACATGAGCGCGGGAAGAGTGATGCGAGGTTATTGGGGTTGGAGGAGGGGAAGAAGAGGATTGAGTAGGTGCGGGTTTCTGTGGGTGGGGAGGGGGTAGATTGAGGGAGGGGAGCTAGATTGAGGGAAGGGGAGGGTGGGTAGAGATGGGGGAAGGGGGGTGTTGGGTTGGGGGAACTTGGGATGAGATGTATAATTAGAAGTTTTTAGTATGTTTTTGTAATAATCTTTGGGTGGTTGGTTGGTTGGGGAATACAACAACAGTTTCCACATGAGCAAATTTTCTGAAGAGGTGGTTTGAGGTATACATCATCACCATTCACATGCACACAATCTGCGAAGACGTGGTTTGAAGTATACATCTCTCATTCTCACTCCTTTGACTCAACTAAAACACTGATGTAGTCATCAAGCCAAACTCTAAACCGCGCAAAACATACAAAATTGGGTATTATGAAGTCGCTTTTCCACCAATAAACACTGTACATATCGTAATCGTGAAACCCCTCGTAGTCGTCCGGCCCATTCATCCAGGGTGGGTGGGGGAGGTGGCGGGGAGGAGGAGGGGAGGCGGAGGGGCGGTGGGGGATGTCACTTCTCTACATGAGGAGTTTGGGTAGTGGGAGCGCGCTGATGGAAAGGTAGTCAGTATTCAAGTGTTAGCATCAGTGTGTAATTCTAGTATCACAGCGTCGTGTTGTCTCGGTATCCTCGTGCTATAATTTGAGGTATACGACAGCAATATGCACCATAGCAGAAAACTTGTCAAGTAGGTTTAAGGTATACAAGTCATTCAAAAACTCTATCAAAAATTGGGTATCGTAAATAGTAAAGTCGCTTTTCCGCCGGTCATCGTACAAATCGTAGTCGCCCGACCTACTCATTCCTCCTCTCACCAGACAAAATAACCACGTCGAATTCCTCATCATCCAGATCTGGATCTTCGGCGTCCTGATTGGCAGGCTTAACAAAATCCCACCCCTCCCCCTCCATCCTATTCCTCAGTCGCTCAAGATTACTGTTGGCAGCGCGGCGTAAAACTCCAGCCCACTTATTCTCCGGTCCGCCAGTCGCTGGTGCGTTCAGCTCGGCAGATGACGAAGGCGTTAGAATCGCAGATTCGGTTTCGGTTTCGTCTTCTTCCCAGTCGTCAAGCTCAGGCAAAATCCACAGATCCGCTTCTGAGGTTTCTTCTTCGGTGGACGCATTGAGGTTGAGGCACGTGCTCGCGTGGATATTCATGCCTTGCTGGCCTTGCTGTCTTCGCGCGAGCGCACTGCGTTTGTTGGTAGGATTGGTGGGGTTGGGTGCGGGCAGCCAGGTTGGGGGCGCGTTTTGGCGGTGCAATGAGATGGCTTGGCGGCAGAGCGTGCGGTTTGCAGCAGTGGTAGTGGTAGTGCTGTTTGTAGTCATGCGGGCTGTGTTGAGCTTCTTTGACGAGTTTGATGCGGACGCGGAACTTGGAGATGCGGCGCGGGATCTGCGCGGCGAGATATCGGTTGCGATGCTGGGGAAGGCGCCGTATATCGCGTTGCTGAGATCGTAGGAGTAGTTTGTGGCATCGCGCGCTGTGGCGGAGCTGTGGGATGGGATTGTAGACATTTTTGCGGGGTGTTGTTTAAATTTTCGCGGGGGTTTAGATTTTCGCGGAGATCTTTGTCTCGTGCGAGAGTTTTGTTGGGGAGATTTTCTCGGCCCGTGGTATGCGAACAGGTGTTCGTTGTGAATGCTCAGCTGACCAGAAGTTGAAAATTTAGAGTTGCGCTGGCCGTGTGTTGCTGGCGGTAGTTTGTTGAGACGGAGTAAAGGTAGCCGAGGACAAAGCCACACTCGGAATTCGCTCCTGCAGACGGATCTGGAAGGTGGGTCTGGGTCTTGCGACGATCTCAGGCGCTCGAAAGCTGTGTGAGAGTGCGCGGGTGATGGAGAGTTGGGAAAGCGGCTGCCTGGTGTAGCTTGTGATGGTGGCCGTAATGTGCTGACGTTGCAAGATGGCGCAGCTGTGCTGATTTGACTGGTTTCAGTTGGGGTCTGCTTTGGATAGAATTTTGATTGAGAAAGTGATGTGAGAGAGAGATGGTTGAGATGAGAGAGAGAGAAAGAATCGACAGTTTATAAGAGAAATCCGTGAGAGAATTCGTTGTCAGTCAACCGTACATTGCTCTCGACCAGAATAACAAGAGGCGCTGTGAGTGGGTGGCTGCAAGTTTGGATCAGTAACCGTGGGCTCGGGCGGCAAGGGAAGCCGAAGTGAAGCTGCGGTTAGTCATTGAGCAAGATTGTGAGTGTGAGTGGATTTGGCACAGCATGTTGTTGGCTGTCATCAAATTTGGAGTGGTGGTGAGTTGTCGTGGGAGCATGTGGGTGCGGCGGACGATAACCTGGGACTGCCGAGAGTCCGTGCACCCTGACGTGTGTGCTGGTCGAGCTCCAAATCTTCATGTTGGCAGACGTCCAGCCCATCAACAACGCCGAATTACCTCCCCCATCACCCATCCGCCATTCGGAGGCAGCCCATTATGCTGCGCGCCTCCATCCTACGGGCCCGTCCAGCTGCCCGCCCATTGGCCCGCGCCGCCCGCCCGCAATGGCTCCCAGCCCAGCGCTGCTACGCCGATAGCAAGAACCTGGGCGAGACGGCCGTCCCCAATCCCGCGCCCACCACCTCGCCCTCCGACCCCAAGAGCACCATCCCCACCTCAGACATCCCCAAGGCACCGCCTGCGCCTGACAGCACCGTGATTTCAAGCGCATCGCGTGATGCTCCTGCCATATCGCCCAAGACGACACCCCCCACCGGCCCCGGCTCGTCCAGCATCGCCCCCGACCCCATTCAGCCCAAGCCCAAGAAGAAGAGACGCATATTCCGCAAGCTGCTGCTCTGGCTGACGGTCCTCTCTGGCCTCGGGTACGCCGGCGGTGTCTGGTACTCGCTCGTGTCGGACAACTTCCACGACTTCTTCACCGAATACATCCCCTACGGCGAGGATGCCGTCGCCTACTTCGAGGAGCGCGAGTTCAGGCGGCGATTCCCCGGCCGCGCTGGCGAACCACGACTGCACCCCCAGATCTCGGGCGAGAACAAGGTCACCATCCCCGGACGGAGCGGCTTGACTGCGCGCCCGGCCCAGGAGAACAAGAGCGACCTCGCCTCCAAGGGCCCCCATCTGAGCGCCGTCGATGCCAACAAGCCCCAGGACAAGACCGAGTCAGGTGGACAACAGCCGAAGGTCTCATCAAGCGCACCCGCGCCCACGGAAAAGAAGGCTCCGGTCAAGGAAGTTAAGGAGGTCAAGGAGACCGCCACGCCCATCTCCCAGCTCGACCACCTCAGCGTACCCTCCGCCACCGAGCCCGTCGTCCAGGATGTCGTCAAGATCGTCAACGACATCATCACCGTCATCAACGCCGACAACGCCCACGACGGCAGGTACAACTCCGCGCTGGACAAGGCCAAGAGCGAGCTCGCCAAGGTCGTCTCCGACATCAACCTGATGAAGGAGAGCCTCCAGAAGCAGACCGAAGACAAGGTCAAGGCCGCCCACGCCGAATTCGACGAGGCCGCCAAGGAGCTCGTCCAGCGCCTCGACCACCAGATGCAGGCGCAAGAAGCCCAGTTCAAGGAGGAATTCGAGAACGAGCGCGAGCGTCTGTCGCAATCCTACAAGGAGCGCCTCCAGTCCGAACTCCAGGCCGCCCAAAAGGTCTACGACCAGAAGCTCAAGAACCAACTCCTGGAACAGAGCATCAACATGCAAAAGTCCTTCACAGCCAACGTCCGGGAGCGCGTCGAAGCCGAACGCGACGGCCGTCTCGGCAAGCTCAACGAGCTCTCCTCCTCCGTGCACGAGCTCGAGAAGCTGACGGCCGAATGGAACAGCGTCGTCGACGCCAACCTCAAGACGCAGCACCTCGTCGTCGCCGTCGAGGCCGTCAAGTCGGCTCTCGAGACACAAGCCATCCCCAAGCCCTTCGTCACGGAGCTCGCGGCGCTCAAGGAAATCGCTGCCGATGATCCTGTTGTCAGCGCCGCTATTGCGAGCATCAACCCCGCCGCTTACCAACGCGGCATCCCCAGCTCGGCCCTCCTAATCGACCGCTTCCGTCGCGTCGCTTCGGAAGTCAGGAAAGCGGCGCTCCTTCCTGAAGACGCGGGTGTGGCTTCCCATCTCGCTTCCCTCGCCATGTCGAAGGTGCTGTTCAAGAAGTCGGGGCTTGCTGTTGGTGGCGATGTTGAGGCTGTGCTTGCACGGACTGAGGTTCTGCTTGAGGAGGGGGATCTTGATGCTGCGGCTAGAGAGATGAATGGACTACAAGGGTGGGCTAAGGTGCTGAGTAAGGATTGGTTGGGCGAGTGTAGAAGGGTGCTGGAGGTTAAGCAGGCGTTGGATGTTATTGCTACTGAGGCGAGGCTGAATAGCTTGCTCATTGACTAGACGCGAACACCCTGTATCCTTTCTGTCTCCTTGCCTTTGTGTGTTCATAGCACGGTACTACGGTAGTTTTGTACGAGTATTAGTCTATAGAAACCTATTCTGTTCGTCTTGCATGGGCTTGTCTGATGGTTCCCATGGTACTGCGATGACCCAGAGGCGACCCAGAGACGACGAGCCAACCACACCTCCCGCATTTCATACGACCCATACGCGAGGAGATACTCATGAAAGAGGAATATCGTATCTCTAAGAACCTCTTGTCTGATGGTGTCTGCTAGTTGCGCTCTGGTAGTGATTGGTATGTAGGGGTTTCTGCTAGGACTACATGGTGCCCCTACCCACTTACCTGACATCGTCCTCTCACCGTCTCTTCCTCAATCCCAACTCGTCTTCAAAGATCCTCGCCAATCGTTCCCCTTCTTCCTTCCTATCAGCCTTCTTCCTCGTATCTTTATCCACCTTTTCTTCTCCCTGCTCCTCATCCTCACGTCGCCCGTCTTTCTCCGCTTCCTTGTTGTCCTTCCGCATCGCCTTTGTAGTTTTGTCATTGTCATTCTTCTTTTCATCCTCCTTCTTGTCTGCGGAGCGCTGATGGGCTCCCCACCATTGGTAACGTTGACTATTGAGCCATTTGTCGTTGGGGTCCATGGTTTGAGTTGGGTGATGAGTTTACGTTGAGGTGTAAGATGAGGATAGGGAGGTCCGTTGAGAGAGTGTGAAAGCGTAGTTCACATGTTTCTTAGGTGGATGGGCTGCTTAGTTTTGAAGGGGTCGGGGTGGTTTTGTGGTTTGGAAAGAAAGGGAGGGGGTGCTTGACAACCATGTATATCACGAGAACGATCTCACATGCGCGAACCATACATCTTCGCCTAGACGTTGAAGCCAGTATCGCAATCAGTCTACTGAAAAGTCACACACGTCCTCTTCTCCCCGACCGTATACCAAATCACCACCCACCTCTCCACTTCTTCATGACTAATAAACAGACCCGGCACACGCGTTCCATAGTGGCCGTACATATTGTGCTCAACATTGTAAGGGTTTACTTGCGGCGAGGACGAGGACCACAGCTCTTCGTAGCGAACGTGTTCGAGGGTCTCTCCAGGTACCTGTCTCACTATCTGTGTTTCGCCAATGAACGACATGGGTTCGAGGGAGTAGTACACGCCTCTGACAGTAGTTGGTGCGTATAGCTCGCGGGACGCTGCGATGAGATACCTGTTTTTGTTTCCGAGTGTCGCGCTCAGGGCTGCGATTTGTGCGTTGCTTTCTGTGAGCTGTGCGTTGGCGTTGTTGAGGGCGGCTTGGAGAGCTGGTACTGTTGACATGGTGGAGTAGATTAGGGACGAGATTGGGAGGTGAGGTACGTGGGGACGAAGAGCGGGTTCTTGTATTAATGATGGACAATTGCCTGCCTCATGCCAAATGACATCCAACTCGTGATCTGACAGCATCCACTTTTCGAAAGCAAGACACGTGCGCATCAAGTCCTTCATCACCCGCTACCTTCCACTTAGCTCACCCGTCTCTCCATCCGTACACACATTCACGACAACACCCTAACCAGCCGGCTGCTCACCCCTCGCTTCAAAGCTCATCCACGTCCTAATCCCCTGCAAAGTGGTATGGCAAATCAGCACCGACCTGTTCACCTCCTCTCGATCCACAAACAGCCCCGGCAACCGTATCCCGTGTCTCCCATACATGTTCTTCTGCGCACCGCCCATAACCTGTGGCTCGTCGCCCTAAGTCGACCACATGACTTGGGACTGCGTTTCCCCCGGTAGCTTGATTTGTACTTGTATTTCGCCCGAGAAAGAGCTGGGGTAGAGCGAGACGTATATGCCGCGGAAGGGGGTTTGCGTGTAGAGTTCTGTTGTTGCGGCGTGGAGTCGAGCGTCGCTGTCTGTGAGCGACGTCGTGAGATCATTGATCATTTTTTGTAGGTGGGATACTACTACTAGGTGGGATATGTATGACGGAGGCATGGTGAGGTTGGGTGGCTCGGTGGATAGAGATGAGTGGTAGTGGTTCTGAGGTGGTGTGGTGATGGTAAGCGAGCTGATTGGGTGGAGATGGGCGAGAAGAGCGCGTTTCCTTGTATTGATGGATGGAAGTAATGGGAGTAAGTGGGTCTGCGGTACGTTGATTGATGGGGCTTGTGTGATGTGATGGTTCGATGTTGGGGTGCATGCGACGTGCGTATTGGCTCTTTCGCAGTTGCTGGAAGGCGATGGCTTTGCAAGGAAGGTGGGTCTGAGGATGTTGACGAGCGACTTCCGTGGAAATGGCAGATAGTAAGTGCGCAGTGAACAGCAAATCAGCGCTTCGCTTGAACAGCGGAGAAAGATGACAGTTTCATTTCTTCCCACTTCGAACGGCTGAAGTGGACAGCTTCTAGTATCAGTGTTCGGCGCCTGCTACTACTCGCTCAGCTCATCTTTCTCACCATCCGCAAAGGTACCCCACAGGCTATCAGATCTCTTCCCCATACTCCCTCCCCTACCCATATCACCTCACACGATCCTCATCGGTCTGATCGTCAATCCTCACCACCGTCTTTTTCATCCCCGCCGCGAATGGTGTCCAAGTTATCACAATCGGCGTCTCCACCTCTTCCGGCGCAACAAACACACCAGGCAGCCGCACACCCACCCTTCCGTGCATGTTCACCATGTCTTCTGGTTTGTATCCTTCGAACGCCGGGTTCGAGAGGCGTATCGCGTAGAGGGGGGGTACAGGTTGGAGCTCTCCATTTTCCGATATTGCTAACCGTTCAACCGTCATGGAGACGATGCCGTTGGATGTGTCTCTGTTGGGGGAGATGTACACGCCGCGAACTTGGATGGGGAAGTATAGTTCTTTTGTGACAAGTCTTAGCTGGGCGGTGAGTTCGGCGATTCGATTGTTTAGGTCGATTAAGCGTGGTCTGGGCATGGTGGGATGAGTGGATGAGTAGATGAGTGGATAAGTTGGTGATGAGTGGTGGATGGTATGTTTGGGTGGCGGGATTCCCAAGGTTGGAAGCGGACTTTGACGACTAGGAGAGGTGGAAGGGGCGTTGTTCTAATAAGCGGTTAGGGGTCACTAGGTTTGCACTGAGCCAAACGACTGGCTTTCTATGAGGCAACTGTGAGGATGATCTTACGTCCGCAAACTGTTCGAGAGATTGATCTAGAAAACAACAACTGAACCTGTTTTTGCAAGGAGGGTAGGTCTGAGAAAATTTTAATGCGCGACTTCCATGAGAGATGGCAAAAGGTAAGTGCGCAGTGAACCCGACTTCAACATCCCCTACTGCAAGAATACAACGGCAACTACCAACCTCTCAACACATCGGAACCATCACATATCCATCTTGCTCCGCCTCATTCCTCTCCTGATTGTCCTCTTTACCCACGGGCTGAATCTGTATAATCGTCCTCGTCCCTCCCTCCAGCGTCCAAACGACCACCAGTGGCTTCTCCACCTCTTCACTCGCGATGAAGATGCCAGGAACACGTGCACCGGGTTTGCCATGGATGTTGACGGTTGTATCAGCAGCGTCTTTCAAGGTTGGTATGGTGACCCTATCGTCACAAGCCTTTCTTGTTTCGTCCCAGGACGATGACCACTCGACACGAAGGCTGTTGGCTCCAGGTAGGCGTATCGCGATTTTTATGTGGACGGGGAGGGATTTTATGGGACGGGAAGTGTACAAGCCGCGGATTCTGGTGAGGAGGTAGAGTTCTTGAGCTGCGGCATCTGGTTCGGCCTGAGGGTTCGTTTTCGATGACTTTATCCAGGATGACATAGCGAAGCAGTGGCTGGTTCTTAGTATTCTGACACTCTTGGGTGATGTGATATGGAGCGGACGAACGAGAAGCACTGGACTTTATGGTAAATGCTAAACGTCACTGAGCTTGCTCCGCCTAGGTACATCACACTAGAACTGGTCGTGTGATGTATCCCAATAGCTACTCTTTCGCAAACTATCCCAAGCAGCAGACTTGGCAGTAATGCGATACCTCATTCATGGCGACAGATTGCGCCCTTGCACTATCAAGTTCTCGATCTCCTTAGAAACTGCACCCAAGTCTCTAACTGAGAGTCGCCCTCGTCCTTATCCCCACTATGTTCTTTTCCCTCGCCCTGTTTTGTGTTATTCTCACCGCTTCCGCTTTTCTCAAGGTCTTTCCCATCTTTTCCGTGGTTTTTAGGCGGCGCCCAACCTGCTTCGCGCGGTTTCATCTTCGCTTTCGCATTCTTGACAGGTGCTGAGCTTGACATGTTCTTAGAGTTTTATAGGTCATACGTCTTTGATTTATGAGCTTGGGCAAGCGATCATCAGAGCACAAAAGGCTGAGAAGGGTATGCAATGCGCTTGCAGGAGAGTATATGCGTGCTTGAAAGACCTTTTGAGGGTTTGCAAGGGACACTGTCATTCAATAACGCACAATTGATCACGGAAGTGATCGATCAATGTTGAGCATCGTGGCTTAGTCGTCATGTGGACATGGAATGCTGTCTATTTGGGTCTTAAGCCGCCACATGATTGAAGGCGTAGATATTTTGACTAGTCAAATATAGTGCGTACTTCAACCACCGTTGTGACGTTGCGACATATCCTCGAACATCTTAACCTTGCTCGTCACGCCACCACTGTTCTCATCTCTACCTTCATCCTCTACTTCCTCCGGCTTTTTGCCTTCTTCTCTCTTTTCTTCTTCCAAAACAATCGGTTTCACAACCCTCATTCTTGGACTCTCGTTCAGGACGTTACCCATCTTTATTTTTGAATCTATATGCTTCTCAATGGAACCGTCCTGAGAGCCTGTCGTTCCAGAGTCAGAACGACGCCACCGTTTTTTGAAAGGCTGGGTTGGTTCAACAGGCTTCTCGGGCGGTGTGTCAGACATTGCGGTAAATTGTTAGAACTGTATCTTCTGAAGAGGGGTGGAGACGGGGATGGAAGTGTGTGTAACTAAGATGGTGAGGGGGTCGGTTGAGAGTGAGGAGGAGCGGTTTATATATGCGAGAGTTGAGACTAGTAGTCGTTGGTAGACTGCTAATGATAAGTGTGACGGGCAGGTACAAACGGCTATGTAGACCACGACAGGCGATGTGATTGCATTGCAATGAGCTGTTGACTGTCGATGACTAACACTTTCGTCGTTTTCGCATTACGACTCGTACAAATCCATATTATCTTGCTCCCCCGACGCATCAGCGGTAGATGACGTCTTAACAAACCCATCTTCATCAACGTCCGGCTCTTCAATATACGGCGTATCATCAGTCTGCGTTCCCTTCGAGTTGCTAGACTCAGAATTGTCTGGTGTAGTGATGGGCTTCTCTCCGTCACGCTTCTTGCGCGACTGCTCGTCCACGTACTGACCCCACAGGTTACGCCTTCTCTTCCGCTCGTTGACGTGTTCGGCAAAACGTTCTATGTTCTCAGTTTCTGATGCCACAGACTTGGCCGTAGGCTGTTCGGCAGGTTGTTCTCCGGCCATGTCGATGTTGAACGATGGTTGAATACGTGAGAGATGATGTTGGCATAGCTGCGAGGTTGCGCTGGACTTGAGCGAGCATATATACGTGGTGCTCATGCTACACCGACTCTAGGAAGGTTGCCATGCAGGCGGTCATGTATCAAACGCATTCAATACCAAGCTTGGCCTCTTCGCTCTGTCTATCTCTGCACTCGCGTACATACCCTTCTTAGCCGTTTGCATCCCAAGTCTGCAAAGACCAACCAGATGATGTACACCGGCCAGCGCACCGTCAATCACTTGCACATGACCTCCAACCGCCTCTTCAACGGCAGCCTTCATGTTCGTCATGCCAGCACACCCAAGCGTCAATACATCAGCACCGTCTGCAACCAACCTCTTGCCCATGTCGCACATCGTACCAAGCACTTCCTCTTCAGGCTTTGATTCCAATTCCAAAACCCCGATATCACAACTTCTCACACCAGCACAGAACGACTCCAGACCGTAGTGTTTCACAGAGTCCTTCAGCGTATACTGCGATCGTCGCGACGTCGCGATGATGCCAAACCGACCACCCAGCGTTCGTGCAGCGAACAGCGAGGCCTCCATAATACCAACTACCGGCTGCGAGAGTTCTTCACGAAGGACCTTTATGAGTGCGTGATCGCTGTAGCAAGCTATGAGGAATGCGTCATAATGATGTGCAACGGGTATGATAGCTCGGGCGGCGGCAGCTGCGGACATGATGTTGTCGAAGCTTGATTCGATAGCTGATGGCGCTGGTTTAGGGGCTGTAAAGCCGTACACGGTGACGTCGGGTGGGAGTGTTGGTTTGAGTGTTTCCAGACAGG